CTTTGTTCTTCATGAATAAAGATAGGTGACACTAATCTGACATGAGGTGGATTCACTAGCTTTTGTAGAGCTTGTAATTACCATTACAGACTTTCTCATCCATTGTTGTCTTCATACTAAAATTTGAATATAGACCTTGAGGTGGGATCAAAACCTACAGAGCTGCCAATATATTCTTGTATCACTTTGTCAGAGTAGAATTGTATCAACTGTACTAGTACTTTATTAACCTTGTTCGCTTGCTGTATTTTGGCAATGTGCACAACAGTAGGACCAACCATACTTTGCATAGATATATTTATATGTTTAATTTCCCACACTATTTCATGAAAGGCAAGTTTAGCTGTAAAACAATGTACTTCAACACTTCTCATATATTGTACAGTGCACCTGAAAACCTGACTACATCAACTCCAGAACTCGGAGGCACATGGCCAGTTAAGTAGACAAGTGGATACTAACTTGAAGAACCCAGCTACCACCTGATTGGACAATGTGACTCTGCTCTGTGATTGGACTGTCACTGTCAATCAGATTCAGGTGTGATTCACACTAAACCTCACTACTTTGTCTGTACACAGATGTTCACAAACATGCTTGTTTTTACGTACAAGTCTTTCCTACACATGCTCACAAAAATTGTGACCATGTACATACTTTGCTGTTTGTAGGAATAAATTTCCATTCATTTGATTAGCAGGCAGTAATGGGTCACACTTGTTAAGACTGTGTGCCACCACTAAAGGGCAGCCTTACTGTGTGCTGAGGAGAAGGAACAGGACAAAAAAGTTACAAGCCATATTTTAGGCAAAACTGTGGCATTATTCCTACCATTTATTTTTTTTAATCTAAAACCACTAATATTTAGTATGAATAATGAGGGGTTTCAAATAGTGTACAGTGATAAATGTAAAAATTTAGATTTCAGCTGCTTTGGTAAGTCTAGCAACACAGCTTATCACACCTTGTCAAATGTTGTTTATATCTAAAGAATCAGAACCCAGCGATGTATCTGCACCATTATTTTTATTCAATATACAGTAGGATAGTACTGAATGTTAGGAGCAGTGTACCTTTCCTTACAAACACACAAAAAATACTATTAAAGTTTATTCTGCAAGTCGTCTTACAAAAAACCCATACACATTGTCATTATCTGGTATTGTTTGTAGAATTTTGAGGACAATAATGAATTTAATCCATTTTTGAATAAGACTGTAACCTAACAAAATGTGGTAAAAGGTAAGCGCTGTGAATACTTTATGGATGCACTGTATATGGCCTATGTAACTCAGTGAAAATAACGTTTGTAAATCAGTTAGTAGACTATCAAGGGCTAGAATTGTTGCTATCATCCTGAAAATCATATAAAGGTAAGGCAATAAGACATATAGAAAAGGACTCCATCAGTATTTTAATATAAACTGAAAACACTATCCAACTAGTTCTATACACTGAGGGACTGGGACAATGTCATCATCAGTATTTACATCCACATTTATCTTCATAAATTTAAACTGATTGGACCCATTCTGTGTGATGGCAATCTAGGCCCAATCATCGTGAATGTCTCTCTCCACAGCCAATGTACCAGTCCACAATTTGTCTGAAGGCTTTGTAAATCAACGGATTGGAGGAACAGACCAGTCCTCCACCACGCCACAGCTGGGCCCTCTCCCTGTTCAGGTCCCCGAGGCAGGTCACCTGATCCTCATAAGCCAGTGACACACACCACTTTGAGTGGTCATAGTGTGACCAGAACAGGATTGATCCAGGAAGCTGAATCCTCTTTGTGTTCATGGTGTGTTTGGGCAGGGAGCAGTTGGAGGGCAGCTCGTGACCCTGTCTCTGCCAGGTCTCCACCAGAAGGTCGGTATCCAGGACCTGAGCCACCCAGCCTGTGTAGATGTCTGAAATGACATCAGTGAGGGGCTAATTCAGTTGCATTAGATTAAAAGATGACATAAAAAAAAGCATATTTTCAATTCAGGATGAAGTAATTTACATTTGCTGTCTAAATCACCAGCAGTACATGAGGAATCACTTACCATCCACAAAGTGTTCGGATTTGGCAAAGCTGACAAACTTGTCCCCTCTGATTGAGAAAAGCTGATCCACTCTTTTGTCTGCAGCCAGTGAAGGTTTGGTGCCCTCACATAATTGCACCAATTGTGGCAGGTTGGCTGAGAACGCAGCAGGCACAGAGCAGTTATAGAAGCGTGGGTAAATGTAGATTAGCTGCTTTGCTAGAGAGGGAGGGGAGTGCATCACAAAGAAGAAAGAAATAAGATACTGTATGATAAAAAAAAACAAGTAAGCAAAACAAAGGTGCACTTTAACCTGCTATAAAGACACAGTATTTATAACAGCCAGAAAGGCAATTAGAGCTCATAAAAATAAATGCTTTTATTTTAACTGTATTGACCTGGATTAGTGTTTTGTTGATGTACAGTATCAAGCCAATACTCAATTTAATGAATACTGGATATACTTTTCTTTGTGTCTACTACCTCTGATATATGGATTTTCCTCAGTAAAAAAAAAGCTATATTTTTTTCCATAGCTACTTATTCATTTCACTGTTTAGTCATGTTTGGTTATTTATTTACTTATGGCACAGGCTCAGGGCCCCAAGGGCTAAGGGGGTACCTGGAGTTCGGCTGCAAAATATCCCAGAAAGAGATACCAAATCCCCAAACTAATATACAAAACGACCACAAAGAAATGCAAACGGTCATTAATAAGACACAAAACTACCACAAAGACAAACAACATGACTACAAAGTGATGCAAAATGTCCTCAAAGAGATACAAAACATCTGCAAACACACACCATAAAACTGCAAAGAGATACAAAACATCCTTAAAGAAATTCTTTTTCAGTCTCAGGTTTGCTTCTATGTAGGAGGGTGGGGGCCTTTATGCAGCTGGGCCCATTGTGTCATAGTCCTCCCATGATCATGATATTTGAGTGGAGGGGGATTTAAAAACTCAAACTTAAAACATCACTGGGATGCATACAGAGCTGAGGTAAGTCAGACCCAGCTGCCTTTGGAGCTTTCACTCACCTATACGCAGGAACTGTTCATACTGGTAGGTCACGCACAGAGCCGTCTGACCATTGACTTTGCCAGAGGAGGGATAAAGGTAGCCTCTTTCAGGGAACCAGGGGAAATGGGGAATGCTGTGCAACAGCCAGAAACCTTGAGAGTGGTCAAAGAGCAGTACCCCTGCAGGATGCACACAGACAACTCTTTACACCAAAACATGCAACCCAGCGCGCACACTTGCAAACATTTCTACCAAAGTCAGGGTCATAGTCAGCAGCAGTTATCAAGTGGATGCTCTTTGCCCACTGACATATCATTGACATAAAAAGTACACAGGTCTGTGCATGTGTCACATTGCACAATATGTTTTTACAGTTTTACCCTAGGGAGCCTCTCTTTAAAAAGAGACAAACTGTACCTGTTGACATCAGATGTGGACTCTCTTTTACATACAGTGTTGGGATATTTTGCTGTTACAAAGATTATGATCTTGAGACAGAGTGTTACCAGCCTTTTCACAGACCACAGTGAAAATTCATCTTACTGATTTCAAAGCAACATTTTAAGACTAGTGAAAACAAAGATGATAGTTGTAATAATCCACTGTACCTTTACTGTGTCCATATCCTTGGATGTAATCCAGGACTGGTGGTGCATCATTGTAGAGTGCATAGACTGAGCTGTTAGACTGATGGTAAAACTTTGTTTTATACAAACAGTATGTGATCAGTCTTCCAACTATACAATACACAACCCTTGTAATTTTCTCAAAGGGATAAAGGTCAACATTTTGGGAAATATGCTCATTTGCTCAATTCCATGCACCACAAAGTAAAAAGCATGTTTTAGATGTGACCAACATTACTTGTAGAGTTAGAAATCAAGAACAGGATAAAATGGTTTAAATACGATGCCCACAACTAAATGTATAGGGAACTGATGGTGTACAGTGTAGTGATAACAGGTTCTTTAGTACATTTCTCAAATCAGAAATGGAATTCTCAAAAGTACTTGTTCAACCTCCACACCATCCAGTCACTTGTGTGTATCACATAAACAGTTTCTCATGGTCTTGAACAAATTACAGATTCTTTGGCACGTTCATGCAAATGGTTATGTACAATGTTTTTGTTGTTTTCTACATTAACAATTGCTTATGTCATGTTGATCACAATTTATTACACTGGTTCTCTGCTGAACAGTCTGATATCCCACAATATTCGGTCATAGCAGAAGTCATTACATGCAAAAGGGGTGAACCAGCTGTCATAATCTATCAAGCACATTACTATATAGTTCTATTAGACTCCGTTTGGCAAATGTGCCCTAACTTGATGAACTGCTCTCAAGTGAATTGTGGGGGAAGGTGTAAAGCCTTAGACCAGCCTGCTCTCTAAACTAGCTCAGAGGTACATCTACTGAACCTTCAACTGGAACTAATATATACAAGGTGCATTTCCACTGTAAAGTCCCTGGTACTTACTAAAACAGTTTCTGGGGTAAAAGTCCCTCATGTGCATTGTGATTAGCATTTTCACAGCAATTAGCCTGCTAATCTCACTCACTGGTCTCCTCATGTAGGCCTACTGATAAAATCTCCTTTATGAACTGGGAACCCAAGGAAGTCTGAGTCAGTCACATCACTGTGCCCAAGTCACGTTTTTACATCTCCTCTGAATATTTTATTGTCTGGGACTTGCTTTTTATTTTATTACATTTTTATGTGTGTTATGTGAAGAACTTTGGTCAACAAGTTGTTTTTAAGTGCTATATAAATAAATTTGGATTTGATTTGAGAAAAATTACAAAATACAGGTTCAACCCTGAGGTTAGAGCTGTAATCAATCAAAGTATTCATATTTGTGCCTTCTTGTAATAAAGTGTAAGAAATATATATGTTATGAGGGCTGTGCTATTACTTTATCTAGGGAAGCTTGTTAATTGCCAGCTTTAATTGAGTTCCCCATAGAAAACAAATAATCGTCCATAGTTCCCCATAGAAAACAAATAATCGTCTACTCAGCAAATTGGCACCAACAGAGGTCAGTGTATAAAACCTACTTGAAGAACAGAGGCATAATCTCACCTGGTAGGCCTTTCCCATGTAAAGCTGGTTCAGTGTGTTACCTAAAGCTCCTTGACTGGTGTTAACCGTGAATTTACTCATTTGCCATTTCCTGACTGATGAGTCCAGGTACATGTAATCAACTCCACTGCCCACCTCACCAATCTTATACCTAGGCAGCTTGTAGATGACAAACCTGCAGCAGAGAGACACAGGAATGTACTTTTTCTTCTGTATTCACAAAAGACGATGCCTTGGGGAAACGATTATTTGACAGATTCTATATGTTCATGCCTCATAACATAATACCAGCAATAAAAGAGTTTGTTTGCCTGCCAAAAGACACCACCTAAAACTCTGCAATATAACTGTTTTGCCATTAAAGTTTAATTTTTGTCAGTATATTGCCATGAATTATATCAACTCACCAATCAACAGGCTCGCCAGCTTCATTTCTGCAGGAAATATCAGCACTACAAACTGTACAACACAAAAAAACAATAACAATTTGTAAGCATAAACTGAAGTGTGTGGCCATCGTGACAGACTGAAGTGAACCAAGGGGTGAACGAAAAAGGGAACTTGAAGTCTGTCAGCAGGCTGTGTGCTTTTTGACTAAGTGAAAATGGTACAGCTGCCTGTACATGCAAAACAGGAAGTCATAAGATGTGGTCACATGACAGGGGAATACTGACAGCAGTTTATAGAAGTATATTAAATTGAATATTTGGATGCTTTTACAGGCTCTTAATGTGTAAAAGAGCCTTGTATATACAAATTGTACCTTTAGATATCCATCTGGTTTTAAAAAAGTCTGATTTGATTTAATATTGTTTTTTCATTGTCAGTTGCACTGACTGAGTTTGATGAAATAAATGTGATAGATCATTTCAAAAATGAAACTTTTGTTAACTTGCCAATTTGTGATTTAAGTTACTTACAAATGGGAAAAACTGCATATGTGAAAAAGGAAAATAAAATAGGAATTAACATGGAGAACCCAGCATAACAAATTAAACATAATTAAACATGTAAAAATTAAAAATCTACACATTAAAAGCAAATCATTCCAATAAAATCCAAATTCTAAAATAAATGTAGTGGAGCATAAAGTCCTACTAAAGTGTTGTGGAGTTTAAACTAGCAGAAAATGCAAACACTCAAGTAAAGTCCAAGCCCCTTGAAGTTGTACTTAAATACAATACTAGTATACTACTGATATACTGGCACCAACACCAACTTCAAATAGTGGACAACAATGTAATCTTACATTTACTGCTTTTTAAATGACATATCTGTGGAGCATTAGTAAATGATTGTTAAGAAAGCCTTATTAGAGTAGTGGTGTTTCTGAAAAAAACCTTCAGCCGTCACAGTGTTGAAGAATTTACACCTGCATACACTTATTAAGTGTGTGAGTTTTCCTGGTCTTGGCTGCTCAACCTCAAGATATAACCTGACTGACTAGAGCTATGAGAAAGCACAGTGACAAAACAACAGGTGGATCAGAATAAAACACACAAAACAATCTGCACTGACAAATACCCTTTAGGTTCTTGCACATGTGCATAAATAAAACAAGACAAAAGTGTTTGTATGAGCATTTGCATATTTAGTTAGCTAGTTACTTCAACTTCATTTCTACAGGCAATGTCATTGAGATCAAGATGTTTTTGCAAGAGAGCCCTGCGTACAAATACATAACATTATAGTTAACTGTTTCAGGTTAAACGGGTTGAACTTCACCTAACACGACTTCCAATTGCCTGAGGGCACCACCCTCTCTACAAAATCCTCCATTGGTGGAGACACCTTTTACTGGAGACAGGCAGCAGGTAAAGGAAAGGACGACGCCATGGCAGCTGCTTCACACCAGGTAACTATTTATTATATTATACACAGATATGTTTCCTTTTCTTTGCATATTCTTAAACAACAGAACAAAAATAACTTTTTTTTAAACGATCAGAGGCTGCCTTAAGTGATTCACTGCTGGACTTTATCTTATTTTTGGGGTCAATGACCACAGGTCCAAACCATAATCTCCAGATGTTAATAATTGAAACCTCTGTCAAACCTTGATGTTTTAAACTAATGTCAGAATATTTTTGTTCATACAGATTTTCTTGCTCCTTGTGAGCTTTAGTTTAACAATACAAATTTGCATATTTTTACTTAGATTACTCAACTCAACTTTATTTATATAGCGCTTTACCACAGCACAGCTGACCAAAGCACTTAACATATCATACAAATATAAAAAAACAACACATAAAAAACTATAAACAATAATATAAACACTAACACTACAGACAGAGTCTCATTCCTGGTCAAACGCCAATGAATACAAGTATGTCTTCAAATAAGACTTAAAAGTAGACAGGGAGGGGGCCTGCCTAATATAAAGCGGCAAGGCATTCCACAGGTTTGGACCCACCACAGCAAAGGCTCTATCCCCCCTAGTTTTCCGCCTGGCCCTCTAAAAGAATCTTAAAACGAACCCTAAAACGCACCGGAAGCCAGTGGAGAGATGCCAGCACTGGCGTTATGTGGTCCCTCTTACGCCCCCCAACCAATAACCGAGCGGCAGCATTCTGGACCCTCTGGAGGCGGGCAAGACCCGATTGACCAACTTCAGCGTACAGTGCATTACAGTAATCCAAGCTTGATGTAACAAACGCATGGATCACTGTCTCCAAATGCTGCCGCGACAAAAAAGGGTTATAATTTCACCAACTGCCTTAAATAGAAAAATCCAGATTTTACAACCCCATTTATCTGGCTCTCCATTCTCAGATCCGAGTCTATTCTAACACCTAAATCAGTGACCACCAGTCGCACATACTGCCCCAAAAAGCCTAAGTCTACAGGAAGAGGGTCGCCAGACATATTCTGGCCAAACACTATAACCTCAGTTTTAGCATCATTTAACTTCAAACAATTTAACGACATACAGGCCCTAATATCGGCAAGACATGCTAAAAGCGGTTGGATCGAGTAGGAGTCCTTTTTAGTCAGTGGCATAATAATCTGGACATCGTCAGCATAACAGTGGAAAGAGACCCCATGTTTCCTAAAAATAGAGCCAAGGGGAAATAAATACAAAGAAAAAAGTAAAGGCCCCAAAATGGAGCCCTGTGGAACCCCCGATAACAAAGGGGTTGTCACAGATTCCACATCTGCCAGCCCGACAGACACTGATCTATCCAGAATGAATTGATGCTGGCATGTGGAAAATAAGCATGCTTAAGCATCCAGTTAGAGGGAACAGTTCCTCATTAAATACAAATGCACCTAGATACCTGTATATGGAACAAACGTGCAAAAATGCAGTTAACACAGATTACAACTGACTGAAGGACAAATTTTAAAGGAAAAGTGAAGAGGACAGTTTTACAATATATACATCAAATAAAGTAAATGTGTTTTTCAGAATTCCAGCAAAAAACTGTATAAATGTATGGCATGAGGACACCCATTTACATAACCATAAAATATTAACCTGCAACATGTCAGTAGCCTGCCCTTAATGTGTGCAGAATGTGGAGTTTGTGCAAACACGCTATGGCAAGAACTCCGTGAAGGTGCTGGTCATCAGGAGACAGAAGGAACACCACTACATCATTGAGGTGAAGGCTAATGTCGAGCTCACACTCAAATCACGGAAGGATTATCTAACTGGAGACAACTCAGACATCATCCCCACTGACACTATAAAGAACACTGTCCACGCCCTGGCCAAGCTCAGAGGGGTAGGTCATCCACATCTACTGCCACACACAAGAACATGTCACTGTACAGCCGCTGGTAACCTGCAGCATGGCCGAAGCTACAGACCAGATACTTTACATGATGTGAATAAGGGCAATGCATCAAGTTCCTACTCTACATATATTATTCTGTAGAGAACCGCTTCTGTCCACAAAATGAAATGCACTCAACAGTACCAGTATAGTCTATGATAAATACCTGGTGTTGCCTCTCCAAGAGATCAAATTTTTATTAACCATTATTGTTAATAAAAAGTGACAAATTCAGGATATTAAACTACAATGTAATGTTAATGGCTGTCAACATAAAACATGCTATAGAATGGCTTCATTCTTGCTACAGTACAATGCAGTGGCATCAGTTTTCAGTCAAACAATGTGTAACTGAAGAGTTATAAAATTAACCAAAAAAACAACAACCCCAAACCCCCCCCCACTGAGGAGCAACCTTTGTTTCAAAGTTCAACCAGGAACAGCTGCATAGAAATCTAATGGTATTGTGCATTGCTACATAAGCTACTGATTACCTTAGAATTGTTAATGAAAAGTTAAAGAAATTACAGATACTACATTTAAAATCCCAGAAGTTAGCGTAGCTTTAGTTCATTGCAATAAAAAACAGGTTTTTCATTCACTTTCTGTAACTGGGATGTTCCTTTTATGCTAACTTTATACCTCACTATACAGTCACAAGTGACCCCTGTCAACCTAGAGCTATCAAACACTGGTCAAATAATATGAGGGTCAAACATCCCTTTTAAAAGTTTGTCCAGTTAGCACTTATGTTTTAGATTGCACATCTTTTATGTGCCTTAACACTGTTTCTCATATAACTGATACTTTTTTGAGTTTCACTGCTTTTTATGCTGCTCAGGTAAAGACCATCGAGCAGTTTTCCTTGGACATCTGTCATCATTTCCTGACCTCTTTCAACCATGTGCTGAGGGCTAGAGTTTATATGGAGGAGGCCCCATGGAGAAGGCTGGAGAAGGTACAGTACAATACAGGGATCAGTGATCACTCCTGGACAGAAGAGTTTACCTTTTTGATGGAAAATGTTTTTCCTGTCATAAACTGAAAAGTTCAAGAACAACCAGTGATATTGAAGATTAGTCATTTTTCCACCGCGCAGTTGGTATTAAGTGCACTTTGACTTGTTGAAACAGCTGAAATATTTACCATCAAACCTGATTTTTACTTAGCAAGAGTGATTGTGGCACAGACTAAGATGCAGAATTCTCTCTCTCTCAGAATGGGATAGAGCACCCTCATGCATTTATTTTCAGCCCAGAGGCCTGTCACTTCTGCGAAGTTGAACAGAATCTCAATGGTTAGTACAATCATATGCACGCTCTCTCCCTCACATACAAACACACACACAGATGCACTATCTATATGAAAGTTAAAAAGTTCTACTTGTCATTTCCTCACTGAGTATAAAACCGCTGGCTCTCCTGCCTCTGTAGAAACTGTGCTCCTGCAGGTGTTGCTGAGACAAAGTTTGAACATAGCTGATCTGGACCGAGATCTATTTTGAAACCCTGGGTGTTATCCTGTAATACCATTAAGACCTTGACTCACTAAGTAGTTTATATACATGTGAAGGATACCATGTTTTCACTTGTGTCCAGTCTGACCTCTTGTTGGTGCAAACAAAAGGAGTTAAAGCTATGGCCCTTGTCACCGCATGTCAGCTCCATTTCGTTGTGTGCTAGTATGCAAGTTAACAAAATTATGTTTCTGATTACTCCATACTCACTGACTGTGCCCCAACATAGGCATCCTGATGGTTTACAGTGGGGTAAAGAACATGAAGGTGCTCAAAACCACTCAGTCTGGTTTTGAGGGCTTCCACCGGGACCGTTTCACAACTCTGCAAGAGACCAAAGACAGATGTTTCTGCACTTCTGTCTACAGTCGGTGGCGCTACAACAGTACTCAGGATGTTGACTTTGATGGTGCATGGTAATGACTGATTAAAAACTGCTGAATACTACATTCACTACACATTTTAATTGTAGTGTAATGTTAACTTAAAGTTACACTTTAAAAGGGTGCCACTAGATTCTGAGCACAAAACAGAAGTAAAGCTCACTCTAACAAACATTTAGCTTTCTAAATGGAATAATGATTGCATGACTGTTCTCATAGGAAATGTATTAAGGACACCATTATTGAGAAGTTTGCTGGGGCCTACGATCGTGGAGAGTTCTCTCCCTCTGTGCAGAAGACCCTTTATGACACACAGCTGTTGGTCCTGAACAGAGTTCCTCAGGTAGGCTCACATTTACATCACGAGATCACTGTTACTCGCTGTCACTGCACAACCTTTTGTAGATAAGCTGTTTTCGCACTCGCTGAGTCTGCAATGCCACGGTCACTGCTTCTGACACAGTTTATGCAGAGGAATGAATCTTTTACCTTTTTTTACACAGGTAAAGAATTAACAGATGTGGACAGAACCAACCTAGTCAGCTGTACTTTTCTCTACATGCTTATTGAGCACAAATAAACACATAAAAGGCTTTTTCAGAAAAGGCTGTAAAGAAAGTATTCTGTTTTTTAGGTGGATGAAATAGAGATCGTCATGCCCAACGAGCATTACTTCACCATTGACATGACAAAAATGGGCATTGTCAACAAAGATGAAGTAAGCTGCTACTAAAATGAATCAAGTTGTTTTAGTCATGACATTATTGGATACTGCTGCATTTTTTTCCCCTTACAGGTGCTTCTTCCTCTAGATAACCCCTCAGGGAACATCGCAGGGACAGTTCGTAGGAAAGAGCGGGCAAAGCTGTGAATGCATCTACACAAATCCAGAAAATACTGCTGCTGTGAGCAACAGATCACCCTTAAAAAGCTTTTCAATAAGAAAGTCAACATGACATCATGTAGAATTCAAGCATGAATAATTCTGTTGACGATGTAATGTGAATATATAATTAAATAAACTAAGAACACCATCAATAAATGTAAAAATTAATAATATTCTTTGGTGAGAAAAGAGCACCATTTATTGCAAATCTTTGATGCAGATATTCAAACTCCAGTGTAATGCTGCACGTTTACATTGATCATACACACTTCAGTACATCTGTCTTTGTGACATTGCTGAAAGCACCACAGGTAGGGACATAAGAATATATACACAGTAAATCTTTTCATATCAAGAGCTTCAAGCCTTTGATAATGTAGCTGTGCAGGAACAAAGAGGCTTTCAGCTGGCTCGCGTCTGGGCAAACAAAATGCTTCATTGTTACATGCCAAGGACGATTCATGGACTCAGCTGCACGGTTCAGAGCATAGGTCAAAATGGGGTGCATCCAAATTACTTTCTGCATGTATCAGTGTTCAGGTACAACAGAACATAGACAATTTTTAACTATATATATAATCTTATATACAAAAACCTTTTTAAACCAACATAGCTAATTCACTTTGCGCACACACACACACACACACACGCCGAGTATTCTCCTCCAAATTTCAGGTTTTTTTTTTTAAATAAAACAAAAGATAAAATACATATCTCAAGCAGCAGAGAAAAGAATGGCTGAAAGGGTTAATAGCTGACTGGACTCCATGTGCAACCCATTTTTGGCATCTATGCTTATATAAACATACAGCATTCGAATCCTGTTAAGGTGCCACTGTGGTCATAGGAGTCTTTGTGAGGCGGCAGCTAACCCGGGGTCTCCTGACACAATGATTGTCGCTGAGGTGGGTGTTGGGATGGCCTGCGGTGCTATGAGGCATTGCTCTTCAGGTGTTGAGTCTGCAGCGGCTTCACGTGATACTCATAGATTTTCAAGGCAGGACCGAGCTTAATCGACAGTCCCGTCAGAACGTCGTTACGAGTCATCAGGAGTAGGGACTTACCATCAATTTCCTGTCAGGGGGAGAAAGGCATATGTGACTGACACCCTCATTTGTCTCCATCACGCGATAGGAATTTTGAGCAGGAATAGCACTCAGACCTGATCCTGGAAAGCCGTGGCTTGCTCCTCGAACCCTGTGGCTTTGAAGTAATTGACAACGTCAGTGACGCCCCAGTTGGCAGGGTCTGGCAGCTGACCATTCTCAACTGGGCTGTCACGGTGAAAGGATTCATTTTTAATGTGCATACACACTGAAGTGCAACAGCTGTTTAGTATGTTTTAAAATGTTTTAATAGAAAAAAAAAGCCTTATGCTAATTGCAGATACCTTTTGGTGTCAACAGAGCCATTTGCCTTGTCTTCCATGCCGGCTGTTTAAAAATATAAGTATAATAAGGATCATATAATCAAATCAGCAATACAATTATTTCATACCTTTAACAATTAGAAAAATTAAATCAATTTAAAAAAATCAACTGAGTATTAATTGAGCATTTCAGTAATTCTTTAAAGAAAAAGTTCACTGGCTTCAGTTTATCCAATGCATATATATTTTTGTTATAGGATTTTGATCTCAGTATGAGGTCTGGGCATTATTTTCTGACATAATCAAAACAATGATGAGTAGATAAAGTGATTGTTTGTTGCAACCCTGCAAAAACAGGCAGTACTACATGAAGCAATCTTAAATAAATGTTTTCAATATTCCCTATAAATTTGCCCTTATGTAGCTTTAAAAAAGGGTAAAGCTTTTACCATACTTTAGGTACACAAAATTAAAAAAAGTATATCCTAAATCTGCTTGTTCCATCTACTTAAGTAAAATATTCAAGGCTCATATCTATCCATCTATATAAAACATTTTCATTTGAGCGAGCATAATTTCATATTTATTATTCATATAAGCAGTTAATCTGATGATTAAGCTTTAAATAATCAATGAATACAATAAAGTGTTCATAAGGGGACATCTTCAAAATACATTTGTCTGGCCAAGAGTAACATAATGTTCAGTTTGAGAAAACCTGGGAATATTAACATCTTAAAAGACGAAATCATCAAAACCTTTGCATTTTTGCTTAAAAACAAAGTAAACAATTAACCGATTATCAAAATTGTCATTTGGCTCTAATTTTATACACATTTCCCTGTCATTTAGCTTGATATAATGCTATGTAGTACTACATTACATGGACTAAAGATTAGATAAAACAATGTTTGGCTACAAAACAAGCTGAGGATGAAGCTACAAAAGGGTCAGAGAGGTTACACAAGTAAAGTAAATGTGGTGGTATATATAAGCTTCTTAGGAAATATGGCTGCTTTTTACATAATTGAACTAGGAGTTGAGTAAGGAAGCGTGTATTTCCACTCAGCTCATGTAGTGTCAGGTTTAGGCTCCAATTCAACCACCACCATTACAAACTAAAGGATCTTACAATCTGTAACGTTGCAGTAAATTTTCATCAGATGCCTTCTCTCCGAGAACTTAGTGCACTGGCAGATCAAACACCATCATTGTTTTTCATTTTGCAGTCCGGCATCCAATGGTAGTCTTCACTGTGATAACAGAAAGAACATTAACCAGACTACTGCAGAGCAGACCTACAGAGTAAAACAAAGCTGGTACCGTGTCAGTATGACAGCTGGTAGAGCAAGTGTGTGAAAATGACGACCTAAAACTAGCCTAAATTTAATGTTGGCTAGATTAAAATAGCAGAATAACGTCACGTACATCAAATTTCCTTAATTGCCACATACAAAAATAAAGCAATTCAGTACAGAAATAACGTTACACAACGACACAGTTAACATTTACCCAAATTGGTGTCTTTTCTTATTTCGTATTAAGCTAACAGACAGTTAGCTGGGTTTGCTAATACAACATTTAAGTTACCTTATTTTGAATGATTCCTGAAACAGCAGCCCTTCCAAGTTGCGCACGTAGTTTGGATAACAAAAAGTTGTCTAATCGCTGAGATATTTTACAAATGAATGAACCGTTATATTCATTTGATAAAATCAAGATTTAATCAAATAAAGCCAAGTAGCACCTCTTCATCGGTTTAGCTTCCTTCGCCCACATGACAGCAGAGACTCATGGGAAGTGAAGTTTTTAACGTTTAAAAGCCTGCGTTTGTAGTTTACAGATTAGTAACCGCTGAAGTATATCTCAGTTAGTCTACACAATATGTATGTTTTCAACCACAATAAATGCGAACAAAGTTTTTAATAAAAAGAATTTATTAGTGACATATTCTTTGTTACATAAAACTTGCTACAGCAAAGTATATCCCCCTTGCAAACGTGTCAATATGAGTGCGAAAAGCGTCAGCCTTCTAAATGATGTGCAAAATATCCCATAAACTAAACGCAGACAAGTCAGATTAAAATTCCCATACAAGCATGTAAGACTACCTACAAAGAACTGATTTCCTTCAGTCAGAATTGAGAATTGGCTCAGGGAAGTGTGGCATCATTTACATTAAATATGACTAACATTATTACACACATGGGGCATAAATGACATGAGAGCTGTGGATTTCCTTCACTCCATTAAACATTTACAGACAAGACGTTTTGACCGAAACATGCAGAATCTTGAGGTTTAGCTTTTAAACTTTGTCCAAATAAAAATGCCACTGGTTTGAGTTAAAAATAAAAGCTTATAATTTTAAATAGGTATGAGAGGCATCAATGTGTAATAACTGCGGTAAATGTGTTTATTTCTATAAATGTTTTATTCTTATAAGGGTAACTAAAAATTTGTACAAATAATTCAATATATTCACTGTTTATAACACTTTTGTGAACATTGGAGTCTCCTTATACACACTGATAAACATTTAAAATGTTTTTTATTAGACATCTCAATATAAATAAAATAGCATAAGAAACAGTTGTGCCTTGTGAAATAAAATTAGGTCTAAGCAAAATGTCACGATGTGCTCAATCTATGAAAAACAAAAGTTTAAATTCAGACAATATCCATATGTGCATCAGTACCGCAAAAAAAACCATTCAGTTCCAAACCGCTTCACATTTGGCTGTCTGTGACTTCTGAATTTTATTAAATTACATTTTTCCTCATCTACAAAAACTTGAGCACCATGTCAAATAATGATCAAAACTTGCAAAGACTTTAAATTGAAAGACTGTCAACAATGCTTTGTTTTCAGGAAGGTTTTTGATTTTTCCACAGCCCTGAGTGGCAGACCTGCAGGAAATACGTTCAGCTTTGACCTACTGTAGACAGCAAAGGCAAATTTCCTTCTAAAAAGGAATAAAGATATCACTAAAGCAGAACTTTTCTGACATCTGGAAGTTCAAGAAGTGGACACCTTGGCCTTGTAAGTATTGAACTTGTAGGTATTGTCAACCGGTGGCCAGTATAGAAAAATCCCTCATAAAACCAGTATTTCTCTTGAGGGAAGAAAACAATAAATAAGTGTAGACAATAACTTAACAACAGTAGCTTATAAAGAAAAAAAAAACATTCTTTAAAACTCACTCTTGACCCTTTTCCCTTTGAAGATATGAGACTGGACCAAAACACTGTTGTCCATTGACATTCTCTAACTGACTAGACTCAGCCTGAACATTTCTGCAGTGAAGAAAGAGCAAATGTCGCCCCATTACAGTGTGCACATTGGTTAGAAAGTGATGATGCAAAGACAATACAAGACATAACTGCAGCAAGTTGACTGTTCAAAGAAGCAGTGAGCAAGATGAAAAAATACTTGGAGGTCATATCATTTCAGTTCTCTGTTATTATTTCATGGTTAACGCATATTTCGTGATTTATTTTTGCGTTTATGGGACGATGCAGAGGAATATGTCCCTTAGATAAAATCCCTGTCAATGTCCCTGGCTAGAAAACAATTTAAAGGCTAACAAAACAAAGAACAATTAAAAATAGGCACTATGAGCTTGTTGTAACACTGCTGTACAAATGTAACAAACATGCAGAAGTAAAAATCAAAATAAAGTAAATATGGCAGTTACACAAGGACTTCCGAGTGCTCCACTAAAGCACAAATAGCCTTAAAAACAAAATCGAAAAGCAATCCCAAATGGACATGCAGCATGTTCACGTGACCAACACTGCATTGTTTCCACAACAATATACCCTCAAGAGAAAACTGACATCTATTCAGCTATTGAAAAATGCTATGTCAATGCACTTCATATAATTTTGAACGTACCGAAGACAGACGACCTGTTGTACAGTGACATACTCAAACATCAGTTTCCTTTCTTGTGAAACAGTTGCACCTAAAAAAAAATATATTATTTCATTCTATACCACACCTAGTCTGAGGTAAAACGAAATGTCCTGTGACTAGATATGGATAAATTGATGCTACAAATGACCAACTATTACAGCACTGACAAGTTTCTGCTTCATAGTAACACTTGTCATCAGTCACTCACTTGTCATCAGTGTTTTAAAAGCATGTCTCATATGTATATTTCTATATGCCCAAATACATTGTTCTAGGTCTTAAAGACACCAGAATAATGAGCTATGGTTTAAAGTGTTCTTGATTAATGAAAAATAACCTAAACCTTAAACCACACTCAAGCACGTCCTGCAACAAATGACAGATAACTAGCAAAACTCAATGCAATAAATTCAAATCAAAAGAACCTCTTCCATTTTTCTCAAGCTTAAATCACAAAATGTACAACATCAGCCAGTAAAATCAATCACTCTTTGTGCCATTTAAAAATGGGAGTAATACTATCTTTCATGTTGCTTTACAAATATTATTTGTATTGAAATAAAAAGGTGGGAGATGCTGAAAAGGGGCAAACAAAAAAAAAAAAAAAAATGAAAGAAGACAATGATATGATTTGTATTTTTGTGTTGCAGCACAAGGGGTGTCTGCATAATGTGCCTGTGTATAGGTTAGTGCTAGGTGTGCACAGGATCATGGCAAGAAGGACCTCATTCAGTGGTGTGGAATGAAGGAACGAGGCATTTCACTTGAACACATGACAGTCTCAGTTACACCTCAACTCTCCGGAGAGTGGAAACATCCCAAAACACACGAGCCCTGATGGGACTTTTGCCCACTCACTAGAAGTCAGCAAACTCTTTTGCACATTTTTCTGTTTGTGAGACTCGAATGTCCTCCTCTTCATAGTCGTCAAAGTTGCTTGTGTCTCCAGGTCCTCTGCACTTTGGCAAGAAAGGGGCTTCAACCTAAGAGTGCATAAGAATGTAGAGAAATATTTTTCCCCCCCAAATTATTTATGTCAAGATAAAGCTGGTGTTTATTATCGTCAAACTATGTGCAGTTACAAAACAAGCTGTCTTTGTTTTTTAAATATTTTGGGAGTGTAGTAAAAAAAAGAAATGAACTTCACTTCTTTATCATTTTGGGGAATGCTATTTACAATTGATTGACCAAGTTTTGACAAACTGATTAAATTCTTTTCTACATGTAAACAAGCTTTGGGAAACTTCCAGTGTTGACCACAAAGAAAAATAATCATGTTAGAGTATCTCTGAAAACGGAACAAAAAGGCTCTTAGAGGATCTTTTGATGCAACAACATTCTATAAATAGTTTTTCAGATCAGGAAGTGATTGAGGGACAGATGTGTCATAACATTTATAGTGTCAAAAACATGTTAGGACACAATAAATACTTCTCACCTAGGAGCTCAACATGGCAGCCCATTTTTTAACAATAAAATCAAGACCTACCTTTCTCTCGTAGATAGCAATCCAGTCTGTGGTGGAGAACCACTTGTGATTTTTTATGTCATTCACGCCATTCTTCAGGTTGCCAAATCTCTTCGTCAGGTCGACCTGAAGCAGGTTTCTCAACAGATCCTTCAGGTCAGAGCTGAAGTGAGAGGGGAATCGCACCTACAAGAGGGAAAAAAAAAAAATCAAGGACAACATACTTGCGCTTTTCCCCTATTATATTCAGTATGATCTGTGACAGCCTGTAGCAGAGCAGTAATGTAGCACTGGCAAGTTGGTATAGAGTTGGTCCTTGTGGTCAAAATTCAAGTTGAAATGGCTGCATTAATATTAAAAATATTTAAATTCTAAGACTTCACACATGGCTATCTCTAGATACCTTGCCAGACACAATCTTTTCATAGATCTGGATAGGCTGATCAGCAAAAAAGGGAGGGTAACCGGCAGCCATCTCATATATAAGAACTCCAAGAGCCCACCAGTCCACAGCTTTGTTGTAGCCCTGGAAGGAACAGGAAAATCTAATTAATCTTTAATGGCTGTACTTGGTTGGTTGAGTGACACATACAGGACACGTTAGAAATATGACAGTGATGATTTTTTTTTTTAATTATTATTGTGCTGAATCTTTGCTACAGCACAGTGAATATTAAATAAACAATGACAATGAAGTGCTGAGGTTTAGATACGATTTGTTGGGTCTTCACGTCTGCAACAGATGACTTGTGTTGGAATTGTATCCCTTTATATAAATAACTCCCAAGACAAAAAGAAATTGGACAACATACACTTAAATGAAGTCATAATATTTGTTTACAGTTCTTTTGCAGTAAATAATTGACTCATGCCTATTACCCAAAGACATCAGCAGACACTGAGTGTTTTCCCTAATAATGAAATACTAGGCTTATACTGCCTCAGTGCATGTCTCAAAGACCTTTTGGCTTTACTCCTGTCTCCTCAATAAGATGAAACACATACTCCATTTGACTGATGTGAGGTGACTGACAACTAATTCTTGGTAAAGGGATCTTTGTTGTCATATCTCTCTCTTTGCCCCAGTTTCCTGTCCATCTCTAGACCATCTAGCTTTCGAACTCACTGTTTACTTTGTCCATATGTTTAGGATATGATGTCCTGCCACACTTTCATAAAACTGGCTTACTATGCATAAAAAGGGCTATGATTCTTCACATTTCTGTCAATAAGAATAAGAAAACCCTTGAAGCTGAAAGTCAGCGCTTACACCATATCATCAGAAATCCAACTTGCTAGTGTCTTAATACATACTTTATAACTGCGCTGTAATAACATTTATATGGATTCTGTCACATACTGTATGTGAAGCTCACCTTGCTGAGGATGATCTCTGGAGCCAGGTACTCAGGAGTTCCACATAATGTCCAGGTCCTGCCTTTTACTCTTTTGGCAAAGCCAAAATCTGTCACCTGAAGAATTAACATGTTAGGGCATGCCAACATTAGTAAGTATGCAAGGCCAACGTTAATGTGTACTAAACACCGAAACCATAGTGTTTAATGGAGGCCTAGATCTGTTTATCTATTAAGTCTGTATATTCATTACTGCCTGTCTTCTCATACCAACTAATGAGTGTTTCTGACTTCCTTCTCATTTACCAAAGGGGGCACAACTAATAATTTACAAAACAAACTTGCTCATGAATGGCACCTATCTATTGTGTCTACTTTTCTTTTAAAAACTTTATAGATTATGTACCTGGATATACCCATGTTGATCTATGAGCAGGTTTTCAGGCTTCAGATCTCTGTAGATGAGGTCTAAGGAGTGAAGGTACTCAAAGGTGAGCACTATCTGAGCTGCATAAAATCGTGCATGGTGTTCACTGAAAGAGGGCAATGTAGACAGTCAGACATGGGTGCAAGTCTCTTACAAGTGAAGGAACAAATTCAGTCATGTTCAGCCAACTTAAAATGATGTCTGTCTCATGCCAATTCACCAGTGGCCTTGTCAGACACACAGCGAACGAATGAAAACTGGAAAGTCTTTTTCCAACTATTAGTGCCTATAGTGGACGGCTCAGCCCTGCAAATGAAAAATAAAATCTGCACACTATACCTGAACCTTCCAATACGTCTGAGGTGTGAGAACATCTCTCCACCGGGCACATATTCCATTACCATGTAGAGGTTTGAGTTGTCCTGTTAAACAAAGTCAGAAACCTTTTAACCTTTTAAGTCATACCAACAGAAACTGATAAGTGCTCATCAGTTTAAGGAATAAAAATCCACAATCCAATTAAATGATAGTAGTTTACGGTTAAGGGTGCAACTACTGTATTTTCTTTGTAAACCCATAGTTGGCTGGTTATTTTGAGAGGTACTGTACCAAATATTACAGGTGAAAACAAAAGGTCTACTAGGAGTCAATTGTAGAGCACGGAGCGGGCCTCATAATTCTGTCTGAACCTGACCAGTGCCTGAGAGTGTGGCATCCGAAACTGACAAGCTTACGGTATATAATGTCCAAATCCGAACTGAGGCCAACGCACTTGAATTTGCATGGTGTTCTGCTCTTTATCATTAAATGAAGCAGACATTTGATTGCTCCAGATGTCTAGCTTAATGTTTGACCTATGTGTCCGAACCCGCCCCAGACCTGAATATCTAAGTTTCTGTCTGAACCTGGCCTGAACCCTCGGGTACCAACAGGTCCTGATGGGCTCAGTTTGGGTATCCACACTCTAGTTCATGTTGAAACACACTAAAACACTGGTAATGTGTTAACCATGTAGATGGATGTAAGAGGTGGGTCCCAGCATGTACCTTGAAAGCGTACTCCAATCTGACAAGAAAGGGGAAGGAGACTGCCTGTAGTATTTTTTTTTCATTTAGTGTGTGTTCTATCTGCTTCAACTTCACCACCTGAAATAACAAGGCAAAGAAAGGCACTATGAGAATATTAAGCATAGTAAGTTCTTGCTAAATGTTGTGTGTATAAATTCCAAAATACAATGTACAGCAAACCACAAGTATCTGAAAGGTTTTCCTGATTTCTGGGTACTGTAATCAAAACACTAATGCACACACGCGGGTTTTGCAAGGTTTTTGGCCAAATGAGGTGTCAAACTCACTCAAGAGAGATAATCCATAATGTTCTGTTTTACTTGTCAGAGGTACTGGTTGAATGTACAATTTATTTGAAGCCTGTGCCAGTCTGGTATATTCAAGAGTCATTAGGAAGCTCGAGACATGCAGTACTAGATTTGAGACGGGATTTGAACAGCATTGCATCCACAAGCTGTACCATTAGAAGATATAAGAAACCAGACATCAGAGGAAGGAAAATCCTTCTTTGCTAGGTCCTTTGATTAAGAAGGCTGGTGTTCACAGGCCGACTCTCAAATCTGATATGTCCCCCAGTCAAACATTAGCTCAGTCCAGAGTTTCAAATGTTATCACCACACAGTGACATAAGACATGGCCATGAGATTTACTGTGATGAATTAAATTCAAATTTATTTCAAGTGTGGACTGTCACCACAGTGTCTCAATGCACTTTACAACCACAAAAATAAAATACACCATAAACAATGACAGAATTAAAATACAAAGTTAAAATAAAAGATGATTATCCTAAAATACAATCAAACTGAAAACAGCAAATTTATAACAATAACAATGCACATATAATGTAGAAATGTACAAATTTAACATAAGAAAAGGGGTAACTAAATCAGCTATAATTAGAGATAATAATGTACAATAGGACATCAGACATAACAAAATACAGAAATGTAATGAAAAGCCAGTAAGAAAAAAATTGTTTATATATGAAAGTCTCAACAGAATTTGCCATTCTACTGTCATGAAGGGAGCATGGTATGAGAAGACCCTATGACCAGTCAGGTTGTTATTCACTTGTGGGACAGCCGCAATCCTCTTGCACACTGAGTGTAGTGAGCGTAGTGACACACAAGGCAAAAGTAGACCAGACAGTATGACGGTGCAGTAGCCCGTAGGATCATATACATCATTAGAAGCACCTTGAAGTCTGACCTAACAGGAACAGGGAGCTAATGTAATAAGGTTAGAATAGGTGTAATATGATCAAACTTTCTCGACTTGGTAAACATTCTCCCTGCTGCATTGTGTAGCATCTGAGGATTATCAGTGCTTGCATATGGGAGACCTGAAAATAGAATATCTCAATAATCTAGTGTAGATGATACAAATGCATGAATTAGTGTTTCAGTATCACCAAAGGGAGAAAAGTTCTAAGTTTAGCAATAAGCAAACAAGCCTTTAATTCAGCTACTTGGGAGGGATCGTCCGCCTTCACAAGGACATACAGCTGAGAATCATTAGTATGACAGTGGCACTTTCTTTCAGAACTCTTTATAATGTGGCTAACAAGTGAAACGTACACTGAAAAATGTAAAGGGCTAATAACAGAGGCCTGCGGTAGCCCAAATTTCACTTCAGAAAATGCTGATGTTGTGTTGTTCTACAAAACACATTGTGTTCTCCCAGTTAAATATGACTTCAACCACTTCCATATCTGTTCCACTTTCAAATTTCCTTTTCAAGTGATCTAAAAGAATACAACAATCAATGATCTCAAAAGCAGCACTGAGTTGAAGTAAAATATAAAGTTAGAATTACTTTCTGTATCCTCTGGATCTCAAACAACTTTTATGTCTCTCTAGGATTATGTGCATACTGTACTGAAATGGCTTAATGGAAAAGACTGTCTACCTGGAAAGCAATAAAACAACATCTTCACAAACCAAAAACCAACAAGAACTATGGTATGCTTTGGGAGATGCTCAGCAGCAAATAGACTAAAACTGAATATAATCCTTTAAGGGCTCTTTAGTGGACTAATAAGAGCTAAGCAAGCAAAGTGTTAAGAAACATAATGAGGCTCAGTGAGAGGCCATACACGGTAAAAAGGAAAGTCTAACAGCTGAAACAGAAAGTCAGACAGGTTTACAGCTTAAACTAGACATGAGCAACACACCGAGGACGTGCTAATCTCCTCCTGTAACTTTCACATCAGTATTTAAAGATCAAAACTCTCATGAAGCGCCTCTGGGGTTTTCAGTGATAACATGCTGATGGGGCACAAAAGGAAGCGTTCCACTTCCTTTTATGACATACTTAGCATTTATGTAGCAAGAGCATTTGTTAAGCATGCAAGGCTTTGTTTTTCACTGACTACCTTGATTTGTGATGCTAGGTTTTATGGGATGGGTAAAGTATTCTTAAAAAATATACACTTACTTTTTGTTTGTCCAAAATCTTCATGGCATAGAACTGGTTTGTTCCTTTATGTTTGACAAGCATAACTCGCCCAAATGAGCCAGTGCCCAGAGTCTTGAACCTATCAAAGTCATCCAAGCATGTTGTACTCTGAGGAAACACATTATCAGTGGAAATGAAACAGCAAACTCATGACTGAAATGCTTCAAATATGCTTAGACGTTTAGTGCACATAAACACATAAGCTAGATGGAGATAATTTAGAGTATATGTCTCTTTCTGACACAGAAAAATTACACAATCATCTAGCATTCACGTGAACAGGCTCCAAGCCATTTTGAGGTAAAGCATGTGACTAGATGCTATCATACAATATATCTAATCATTTTCCCATATAAAAACAGTCCAGTCCAGCGTGCTGTAATAGTTTTAATTCTATAAAATAGAGTACTTATAGGAAATAGCTTACCTGTGGTGGACACTCCCATTTTCTTAAAAAATCTTCTTTGGCTTTAGCTAAGAACTCCTTCACTAGATAAAGATAGAGAGAAAAGTAAAAAAAAAAAAAAAAAAAAAAAAAAAAAAAAAAAAAAAAAAAAAAAAAAAAAAAAAAAAAAAAAAAAAAAAAAAAAAAAAGTCGGCACTCACAAGGTCGGTTTACAAGTTCAGGAAAATAAACAAAGGCAACTCACATGTTAAGGGGAACAAATGCATTTTAAGGTCAGGCAAAAGTCAAGTACTGGGGAGGCAGGACTATACTTAACAAAACAGAAACAATACCTCCTTAACAAAACTCAAACCCACACATCTAAGCAGGAAATTTTAACTTATAAAGTGATGCAAAGAGCTCTGGTGAACTTTACAGAATCAGCCAATTCAAACTCAAGCTATTCTGCATCTCTTTCAGGAGTAGGTGGGAGTAAAGGGGCTAGGCAGTAATAACAGGCAGAGAGAAAGACAAAATAGTAATTGAGACTACAGTGCAGGCATTAGAAAGACGGTGCATTGTGAAAGTCACTGCATACATGAGATGTCCAAAGTCACAGAGTCATGGCAGGAAACTAATGTCTACTTGATACCACCGTGTGCTATGTGTTTACTGATTTAAATGCATACCTTGCATGGACAGACTGGAGCAAATATGGTAACTTTCTAGGTCATTTCACCTGGTAATATTTACATACAAAAAGCCTGGTACAACTAAACTACAGAATAAACATCCTCTCTGTGACTTAGGATCGCTCATGTAAAAATGAGCATACCAAAAGTCTCTACAGTTCACCAAGGGTTTGCAGGAACATTGACCCACATGGATGGAAATGATGGAGAAGAGAAAGAGAGCAATAAACATTTATGAAGTGATAAAACAAGAACATTTGAGATTTAAGTGGATTAAAAGCAACACACAACAAGATGACACTGAAAAACACACCACCGTCTAAAAGAAGAAATCTGACTACATTATTCTAAACAGAATTAAGATCATTTCTGCCAATGTCTTTGAAAACACCAGCTAAAACCAACAGTCATTGACATTTATAAACTACTGTATAGTGCCTTAATAAAAATTTATTTTGTTGCTCTTTACGATTCTGCAACAAGTGGATACTTCTGTTTACAATGTGAGTAGTCTTCAATAATTAGACCTAATTTCATTCTTTCTTGCCATGATTGGAGGATGTTTTCACTGTCCCTAAATGAATAAAATTGTTTTAAGTACAAACATTTGCCCAAAGATGATAAAACAGCGACTGAAAAGACACTGTAAAAATCACACATAAATGCACATTTCATACTTTCAAAAGAGTACACAAAAATGAAAGGACAGAGATATTAAGACGATTAAAATGACTGAAGCACCACAAATGGCCTGTTAAGCGTTATAGCTAAGCTGCTCTTACTTATGTCTAATGCCAGTGTGCATATACAGCAATTGTGAACCTGATGACGGAGGTGAGGCAAAACTATAAATAATAAAGGTTATGAAACCAGGTAGCTGCTTGAAGTTTTAAGAACTGACATACTAACAATAGCCAATTGAAAAACATGAAAAAACTAAAATAAACTAAAACAGCAGTACAATTTAAACTAATACACCACTTGATTTATTTTATAAACTTCAAGTAAATCGGTTTTCCTGCAAACAAAAATTACAAATGAGTCTGATCCAGGTCAGAGTTACAATTGGTCATAGACAAATTTTAAGTGTAAAAGCAATACTGCACTTACTGAACTTATCCCACAGGATGGTGTACTCAGAGATATGAGGCACTTCACCCTCTTGTCCTCTCTGCTCTTGGCTACTTTTACGACATTTTTGGAAAAAACGGCTGGCGAAGGATTGATCCTTTCCCTGGGCCATTTTGAGACAAATTTCTTGATGTGCGAGTGAAAAAGCTCACGAAGAAACCGTTTTCACACAGAAGAGGAATGAGTGACAATAGCTTCCTGTGTGCTGCCAAACGCGCTGCAATGCTTGGCTAACCACATAAAGTTAAGCTTCCTGTTCAGATTCTCAGCTTCAGTTGCAGCAGCCAAATCTATCTCTACTTTTTCCATGTGGTATCACACTTGAAAACATTTACTGGGCTCCCATGCATATGGTTTGACAAAGGTAAAGTTATCAAAGCACACAAAAAGGCCAGTCTCTTGACATTATTTCAAAAACATGTGGCTGGGTGCATTCAAAGTGCTGATAATGGAAGTGTAGGCTTGTAATACTCCACTGACTAAGTGAGAGGGAGGTTATCTCCATGTTATCATGCTCTCTAGTGGTAAAGTTTAACAACACAGGTCTTCAAAGAGCTTTCCCCTATGTGTACTGTTACCCTTACAGACCCTTATAGTGCATTTTATTTTGAATGTTGGTATAGCAAAAATGTGAGTTTGTTATGGACTGCACTCAAAAGGGGCCACTCTGGCTAACAGTGTTAAATACCTAAAGTGAAGATATAAAAGTTAATAACAGCAACATGTTAACAAAGATCTGAAGCTTGCTGTTTACATCAGTGTTATTCTACACAAACCTCAGCATCTCTCTGCAACTACTACAGGGCTGAGAGACTGTATGGAGTCCCGCCAAACAAGACAGATCAAGACCCCCTAGGGATGGTACAGTTTAGTGGATTGGCTTGGTCATCACTGACAAATGCATAGTAGACACAACAGAGTGCCCTTGGCTTAAAAAAAAGTATTACATTTTCATTTAATTTACAGTGACCTTAAACCGGTTGATAGCTGGCTTACCACCTCAATCAGTTTGGACAGCTCTCGTTTGAAAAACAAAGCAACACTAAAAAAGCACAAAACACTGGTTTATTGAAATTGTTAGCCTGGCTTAACCACATCAAGCAGCCTTTTGATAGACCTGTCTGTTGGACCTTATCTGGTACCTGTTAGCAGTGACCAGGCCTTGTACTACAGCTTCAGTAGAAACCAATGTTTGTTAATGTTATCTGGGTCCAAGCACCTGATATCAGCTGTTTGGAAGTTAGACATGGTGCCCTGATAACTTCAGTTAAACGCAACAGTGTGATACGGTTGTAACAAGTTTTATTTCGTTGAGTCAAGGATCCTTTTCGGATTCACTGTTGTGGGAAACCTTCAACAAAAAAGCGACCACACTGTCACTTGCACACGTTCCTTTCAATAATTAGCTAGCTGCATCATCTATGGCACGGTTTCCAAGTGAGATAAGCAACCAGAAATAATTACGAGGGAGATAATGCACCTTGTAAGCTGCACTACCAAAGATGGTTCTTCTCTGCAGCCCATATTACTGTAACGCTTAACGTTATTTCTGCTAACACTATACTCAACTGACTTATTAGGAAAGCTCACGCTACTACCATAGCTAATGTCAGATGGCTAACACGCTAGCTGAATGGCTTTCAGGTGCTCACCGCTTTCTTGCTCATTGCCTTTCTTGGCAGTTGCTGCGTTTCCCATCGTAGGAAGACAGGGCGATGCACAGCTGGCTAGGAGCGATGATGGTGGCGGTTAGCTAACAGTGTCCTCCGTTAGCTAGCTAACAAATATCAGCCTGTGCTAGCTGGTTGGCTAACAACAACATCAATGTTTTCGCTTTGTGGACAGAACCTCGGCGTGCTCTGCTAACCGCCCCGTTGATCTTTATTCACAGCGTCCTTTGTCATTCATGTATACCTCCACTGGAATGAAAACATGATCCAGACTTTCCACCTATGCCTGCTGTCGTTTTGTGCTGCGTTCATGTCATATGAGAAAAACGACAGAAAAGACTTGGTGGATAAAATGCTGCATTCATGTACCGGTCGGAAATTGTACCTATACACGTCTCGTATATTAGGCAACAATTGTTAGAAGTCACATGTAGCAGTTTTGACAAGTACGATAGGCCTATCTAAAACATGTATTTTTTTTTTTTAAATATTAATCAACAATTTTATCCAATTGAGTACATCCATTCAAATATATTTCTGAGAGATGTGCTATGTGCTCTAAAATAGATTACTAGAAGATCATAGCAGCACGTTTGATTGAGATTTGAGACACTGAGAATAACTGTTATGCTACACTGTAGGTATTAAAGATGCACAAAATTGGAAACCCAATTATTTTTCATGGGGTTTGGTCATCTCTTCTGTTCATCAGCTTTTCATTGTCCTATATGTCTCATTTTGATATTCAGTAAAATGAGCTGAAATCTCCTTTTAAAGTAATTTTTAAACTTCTGAGCATCTGATTTAAGTTGTAAACATTTGCAAGGCTGCAGGATGATATTGGCTTCCAATGTTTGACTTTTATTGGTGTGTATATGTAAAATGTGAACAGTTAGTTAAGATAGAAATGTCTTAACATTCCATGTATGACAAACAAAAAACAAAACAAGTCGACAACTTGTAAACATCCATGTGAGACAAGCTGCAGTACATATGTTTACAGGGGTCTCTGACCTATTCTGATTATAGCCCTTCTTTTTCAACGTTTCTTCTTCTGTCTTTATGTCTGCAAAGTAATGCTGCGAATTTCTTAACTCTTGCGAATTATTTAAACCTTTGCATGTCATCTATACCTGATTGGACATAAACTGATATTTGGAAAATATACTCACTCACTCACTCATTTTCTACCGCTTAGGCCCTGAACGGGGTCATGGGGGGGGCCAGAGCCAATCCCGGCTGGCAATCGGGCGAAGGCAGGGTACACCCTGGACAGGTCGCCAATCCATCGCAGGGCTGGAAAATATACTGTGAAAAAGATTTAGGAAATGTAGACATTCAGATTCTTCACACAATAGACATCAGCGAAGATCATTCTACAGGATGACAACAATCCCAAACATACATCCAGAGTCATAGAGACAGCCTATATTCTAAATCAGAAGACAAAGAAGTCCTCCAAAAGATGGCATGGCATGGCCCCCACATAGGCCTGATCTTATCATCATCAAGTCAGTCTGGTCTAAAACTAAGCAAAGAGACAGAGAAAGCCTAAAGCCACAGAAGAACTGTGACAAGTTCTTCAACGTGCTTGGAACAATTTACCTGCCAAGTAACCCGAAAAACTGTGTATCAAGAACTGGTGCAGCTTTAAATGCAAAGGGGGTCACATCAAATTTGATTTAGTTTATTTGTGTGTTTACAGCACTTTGTATGAAATTAACTTATGAATAAAATATGAATTGCACAGTAGTACACCTTTGTTACTATTAACTTATATATGTTGGGGCTGGGGTGTGGTAATGTATGGCCAGGTGTATGGTTTTTGGACCAACACCTACAGCTCCAAAACAAATGTGGGTCTTATTTCCCGACTGCCCTTGTTATCAAATAATAGGACAGCATTAATTTTGGTTGAAGTTGGTTTTTACTTAACAGAAGGGTTTAAATAACAATAGTCAGTCCCTTTTTTTTTTTAATATGTCGAACAAAAACAAGACAACAGTAGTGGACTTATTCTTCAAGATGCCGGAATTCCTGTTCAGGCTGGAGTAAATACCCCGAACTCGTAGACAGTGTTGTCTCCCCTGCCGTCATGGAGCTTTGTATTTCCCTGCGTTTTTCTCTTTTTCTCCTTCTCGGTCTCTGTTTCTCTTTTTTTCCCGCGGGAGACTCGCCTGTCACACAGTGATGACGTCACAACAGATGCGTCCTCATACAGCTGTGGGTGAGCACTGCATGTATACAACTATCATAGCCACACCCACTGGGCACCTACTAAACAACACCAAAGTTCTCTGCACTCCAGCCTCATCTGTGCCGTGTGAGTGGGTGTTTTCTACAGCTGGAGAAGTTGTATCAAAAAAGCGTAACAGACTCAATGTCAAAACGTTGGAAAAACTTATTTTTTGAATAAAAATTTGTAAAAAAAAATCCCAGTCCACAAGCATCCTCATTCACAACACGTTCATTTAGATTTTCACGTTATGATACATGTTCACATTATTTATTGACTGTATCTAAAAATATCAAGGAAATTTTAAATTTAAATGAAGATATGAAATAATACAATATAAAATACAATGACTTAAATTATATTATTGTATATACTAGTATTCAGTGACACAGTATCGACACAGTATCAATACAGTTTGGCAATGTGTCGAAACGCTTCATGACGCCTCATCTACCCATCACTACACTCAAAATTACTTATGCTCAGCAGTGCAAGACAAATAAATTCTTTAAAAATCATACAATGTGATTTCCTGAAATTATTTTTTTAAATTCTGTCTCTCAGAGTGGGAATGCACCTACAATGTGAATTTCAGACCCCTCCATGATTTCTAAGTGGGAGAACTTGCAAAATCGCAGGGTGTTCAAATGCTTCTGTTCCTCACTGTAATTTCTGTCAGACACTTACGCCGTCACTGAGCTTTGTATTTCCCTGCATTTCTCTCCTTTTCTCCTTCTCGGTCTCTGTTTCTCTTTTTTTCCCGCGGGACACTCGCCTGTCACATTGAAGGATAGTTCCCAAATCTCTAAGGCCATTAATCTAATTTAAACTTTCTCGGAAGCAACTGGTCTCAAGCTTAACATTCAAAAATGCGAACTTCTCCCTATTAAGGACTGCAATCTAACTAATATCTCTGGAATACAAGTTAAAGACAGTGTTACATACTTAGGTGTTACTATATCCAAAAATCAAACTTTAAGATGTTCCCTCAACTTTGAGCCCATACTCAAGAATGTTAAGAAAAGATTTAATCAATGGCTTCAACGCGACCTCTCACTTTTAGGTAGAGCCTTACTCTCTAAAGCAGAAGGAATCTCTAGATTAACATATGCAGCTCAATCTTTATACTTAAATCTGCAAATACTTAAATCAATTGATCAAACATTATTTAACTTTATATGGAAAAATCGCATACACTATGTTAAAAAATCTGTAATGATGAACACATATGGAAATGGTGGCCTTAACTTATTAGATTTTACCACCCTAAACAACACCTTTAAAATCAATTGGCTGAAATCTTATTTGAAATCTCCTTTATCTATCTGGTATATATTCCCTCACTGTGTTTTCTCTAAAATTGGTGGCTTAAAATTTACCTTGCTCTGTCAATACAATGTTAATAAAATCCCAGTAGTACTTTCCAATTTTCACAAACAAATGCTATTGTCATGGACCCTAGCCTATAAACACAACTTTTCCCCGCACAAATGTTACTTCTGGAACAACCAATATATAACTCATAAGAATAAATCTCTATTTCTTTATAATTGGTTTGAAAATAATATCCTGTTGGTGAAACAGCTTTTAAATGACCAGGGTGTTCCTTTGACATTTGAAGAACTGAAAAATCGATTTAACTTTAGTCCTACACTAAAGGAATACTCATTGACTATTGGAGCGATTCCCTCTGGACTGCTGATGCTCTTCAAGAACCTGGACAATGATACGGATGACTCCTCTTTTCTATTGGATCCAGCCGACACGTTCATAGGGAAAACATGCTTCACCACTATAAGAAAGAAGAACAATCGAGCTATTCGCGCTATTTTTCAACAGGATGTAGTGTCTATGCCATATATTATATCATACTGGAATACTTTGGTTCCGGACATTTGCTGGGATAAAGTATGGTTATTGCCTTTTAAATATATGATCAGTAATAAAATAAGAGAGGTCTCCTTTAAGTTAATTCACAGATTTTACCCATCTGCTCATTATCTTACAAGATTTAATAGGTCTATTAATACATCGTGTGTTTTCTGTAATGCCTCGGAAGAAACTACTGTTCATTTATTTTGGGATTGTCCATTTTGCTATGATTTATGGCAGAACATCTCTGTATTCATCACCTCCAAAATTCATTATTCCCTTGCTGTGAAATGGGAACAAAGCTATCAAAATTTGTAATATATGTACTTCCCTGAATGTTTTTACTTAACTTAACCCATTAAGTCACCCCCTGGCCTAAAAGTTTCATGTTCACATTGTCTGCTTCGATGTTGTTCTTGTTTTTATGTTCTTTATTTTATGTTATAGTCCTCTTGTTTCCGGTCTATTTACTTATGTATAACTACTGTCATATGCCTCAATAAAGTATTTGGGGGGGGACTCGCCTATCACACAGTGATGACGTCACAACACATGCGACCTCATACAGCTGTGGGTGAGCGCTGCATGTATACAACTATCATAGCGACACCCACTGGGCACTTACTAAACAACACCTTACTGCACTAGGGAGAGTTTCAGTTACTCCCCTTAGGAAATTGTAATTTTATTACTTGACCTGGCCACATATAGTTCACAAAAATCTGAATATGAAGGTAAGGTTGACTGTTTCTGAGGAATACCCACGTTACCGTAGTGATGAATGGTGTAGGTAATAATAAGTGAATGGCAGGCTCATAATCTCCGAGCCCGACGCGCCCATTAACGGCAGGTTGTTTTTTAGCACCATGGTCAGCGACACAGTTGCTCGGTAGCTTCCCAGTGTTTGTGTCAGTGAGTTGTAGAAGACGAGTTGCGCCGAAACCTACGTTAAATAATGCGCTAAAGGTGTAGCAAACAAATGTGGTAATGCTTTTGTTTTCTCTCACAGCTAGTTAACAGCTGAAAATAATGTTTGCTGACTTAAAACGTAGGCCCTACAGTTTACTAAGTGCCACACTGGTAACAGACTGAGAATGGAAACTTCAGCACTTCATTCAGGTTCCCCCTCTCACAGAGCAAATGGTTTTGTCCGTGGAATCGCTCCAGCAGTCAGCACACAAGAGGACCACAAGATACAGATTTAAAAATATACGTATATATATTTTTAGGTCTGTCAACCCGCATCAGTTTTCAGTTGTAACACTATTACACAGAATTAACACAGATATAGTCCTGAAAATACTCTCGGACGGTTCCTTTCTAAAGAGACCTCAGTGTCTGATACGGTGATAATGCCGTTTGGTTGAGACCAGCAAAAGAGCTGCACCACCAGTGCCTGGAATAAAGAAGGTAACGTTAACATGGTACTTCGCTCTCGCCTCTTCATCCTTTTCTAGGTAGTGTGGCTAAGCTAACTGTAGTGTTGCCCAGGGTCATTAGGTTTTACTTGAATTATTTGATGGCACTGCATTTAGGAATTTATTATTTCATTTTGTAGCAACAAAAAACGAAAAGGCCCTCACTTGCTGAGTTGGTTAGACGTTAACGTTGTCGTAACGCTACATTTAATGTTAGCAAGTTAGCTGGGTAGCAACATTGTCAGATCGTTTCCTTGTTTGCTCCTTACTCCTGACCGGTACCAGTGGCTAGCGACCTAACGTTAGCTACTGCCTTCTAGCAACCAAATTATAGCAATAATACACCTGCTTAGGTTTTGTTTAATCTGTGAGTGCAACCATTCGCTTGGAAACCCTCATATCCGAAATATTACATGCGGGATTTAAGAAATCCAGTTTGTGTTAATCCTGAAATATAGACAAAATATCTGAGGGGGACGGCCTAATCCTGCCAGTTATCCGGAAGATACCATATTTTCCGCTTAGCTGTGAGCATCATAGGCCCCCCTCGCTGCTCTTAGTAGCATAGCTCTTAGCACAAGCTAGTTTTGCAAGAACCCTCAAGAAATCTGTGTTGACATGCAATCGTATTGTTACTATACGTTTTACTTTTGGGTGCTCTGAACCTGGTCTCTTGGATCAGGGATGTGGTGTTTGAAGAATTATTTGAATATTAGTGTGGTGTGTTTGTAGTCCAGTGCAACATGCTCATAGGGCACCCTGGAGACGACCATTCCCAACAGAGTAGATGGATTACATAATAATAACAACAACATAACATATGAGTTCTGGATGGCATTCTGCCTCTTGGACAAATCCTGGAGATAATATGCAGCATCCATTATTTTCATGCAGCATTGCATAACAGTAAGTAATTAGTCTTGTTTACTCTTTGACACCTCTAAAACTACAAATGCAGGTAGGTTTGGCCTGTTTAGATTTTTAAAATTACATGCCACAATAGTCAGAACAAGTCAAAGTAGTAGCGAGCAGTCTTTCTTTCCATCAAAGTTAACTTATCTGTGTCAGCGGCGGTTTGTTTCTTCAGTTGATTAATTCACCTTGTACATTTTACTTGACACGGGACTCTCTTTTACAGTGTCTCTGACTCGTCACATCTACAGATCCCTGCTCGGTTTTCTGATTGTAGACCACCTACTCAAACCCAGTCTTATCTGGCTAATCAGACAGGTTTATGTAAGAAATCAGAGCAAAGGGTTTAACAGTTGAACAAACGCCTCTGTACACATTTTTGCAACCATAAATTATTTGCTCCACTTTGTCTTTCAGAAAATAAGGTCAGGCAAAAATTGTAGCTAATATAAATATTTACTGGCATTTGTACAGCAGTGGCTGAACTTCATTTATTTTTGACTGTTTTGCCTGCATGACTGTAGATTTTCCCTCATGAAGTTAAGCTTAACATTCAGATGTTTTTTTTTGCATGTATTTCAGTACCCTGTGGGCTGACAGCTCCCACTCTTGTTCCTCCTCCTGTGTGAAAGAAGGCACAAAGCCAGGGTTGGGTCACTGGTATGAGCTATTTTTACATCCAATGGAAATTTTAAACCAACTACTTTCTATGAGGGTAACTAACTCATCTGTCATTTCTTTTTCTGGGAAGACACTGTGATGGTAGTGGACAATTAGATAATAACAAAGTAAAAATTGTTTTCCTAAACGAAATCTTGCAAGTACGCTGTATGTTTTAGAACTTCAAGATGTACAAAGCAGAATCACTTTGGCATTGTGCCTTACAACTGTAAGAAAATGTTCAGTGAAAAGGAATTACATTAGTTATATGGCAAAAGGTACATTTCTACTTGAAAATGCATTTGTTCATATTTGCTTTTCAGTTAAGGATGTGTAATAGTAGTGTCTCTGCTTGTTTGAATGGTTATACTGTACATACCCTGAGTTCCCAGTAATGCTGTAATGGGAGACTGGGGCATAGTGCATGTACTGCACTGAAAAAAACTGTCTGCAAATCCTGCTATTTCAGCATAATACAAAGTTAAGTGGTGTTTCCCCAAAGGCTCTCTATTGATTCTGTATTTGACAACTGCTTTCAAGATGCAGTTTCAAGCAAGACAGGGAGCACATAAAACAAACCCTTCAGGGATGTACTGCTGGTTGTTGAAGGGACTTGTGTAATGGCTTTGACAATGCTTGTCATGTAAAAAGTCAACTATTTTGGCTTACAATTTTTGGGCACAGTTAGTATAGAAATATTGTGCTGTCTTGGTAGATTGGCTTTTGATATAAAAGGGGGCACTACATTTTTTATCTGCAGTTGCCTTATCTAGTGGTGATAATGCTAGAACAACTTCCTGACATGGTTTCAGTAAATGCTCCTGATGTGGCCTAAATGCTGCAGAAAAAACCCTGAAAGAGAACCATGACATATGATATCAAGACACAAACATTACCAACTTGTGTAAGATGGTAGTGGGAAGACTTTGCACATCAGTACACTGAAAGACAGACAGACATTTAGGGCCAGTGAAACACAAAGTGATGCAGATGAGCGGTGGAGAGCTGACTCTCTACAATCAAGCCTTTCTGTGTTGTGTGGCAGAAGGGAATTACATGAGCTCAACATCAGTATAAACGCTGCCTGTTCGGCTCAGCTGTGGTGGCCCTCTGGCTCACTCTGCTGGCGAAAAGGTGTAATTGCACCAGAGGATTAATGGTAACTACTCTGCATAGGGATTCATTGTGTTTACTTGAGCTAGCAGCAAAATTGAATGGCGAGTGATATTTACAAAACTCTGAACCCCACTTTGTTGATGTTCTCATGTCGAATACTCCACAAATCTATTATGATTTGCCTGACAGAAACCGAAAAACAACAACAACAACAAAAAAAAATCAAGGAAAGCAACTAAAAGCTGCTTCAGCAAAGTGTAGTCTATTATATAGGACTGTGTAGAATAATAATATAGTAGTATTTATAGTATAATGATATTTAAATGTTTGTATTTACAAGACAGGAAATTTTGACAGCTATTGAAAATATACGAAGGATATGATATGTGACCGTGGTCAGTGAGCTGAATTCAAACCTGTAACGTTACAAGAAGATGACCTCCTTTAGACCCTCCCAGAGTAGATTAAGAAGGAGAGCGACCGCTATCTAAACCGACTCTATAACAACTGATCATGGGAATGTTGAATACTTTCGAAACATTAGGAGCAGGGCCATAGAGTTACACTGACTTGGCTGCTATTTACTTAAGTAAGAGTAAATCAATAGCAATAATTATGTGCGACATGGGTTAAAACATGTTTTATAATCTTTTGACTGTCTCAAATATTGTCACTTTAATGGAGTAGGTACCTAGCTAATTAGCTAAATTAGCTGAGCTATCTATAACAACAGAACACAGAATTAGTTTGCAAATGGGTTAAAACATGTTTTATAATCTTTTGACTGTCTCAAATATTGTCACTTTAATGGAGTAGGTACCTAGCTAATTAGCTAAATTAGCTGAGCTATCTATAACAACAGAACACAGAATTAGTTTGCAAGACATTAAAAGTAGTAATTTGCTGATAAATCCCACTGTTCCCTACAGAAGACAATGGCTGTTTGGAACTATTTGAAGCTACATGAGTAACGTGACTTGCTAACATTTTTAACCTCTCAGTGTCACAACCCTGCTTTTTTAAGCGCTCTGGACCCTCTAACAGTCAGTGATAAACAGATATTCTAATGTGGTGTCTGGTTACACTGAAGTCCAACTACAGTCATGTGAATGCAAGAAACACTAGGTCATCTTGGGGTTGATAACCACCACTACCACTAAGACAAATGAACAAAACTAAAACTTTTTGCTGGGTCATCCATCAGTGTGTAACCACTGAAATCTGTGCTGACATATCACTCTAAGAGGCACAACGAAAGACATTTAATCAGTGGAGATATTTGAAAACTGAAATTATATTTGTGAATAGGTTCTTTGAGTTTTGGCAGTATGACTTAGCTAGAAGTTTTGAGTCCAGGCTGAATGCTAAATATTAGCTCTTTCAAGCCCAAAGATCTACACCATTAATAATTGCTAGTATAGAGATAAATAGCGGCATTAAAACATTACATTTAATTTAGAATGTCTACTGTAGCTGAAAACAAGAGGCTGGTGAGCAATGTTGGTAAAACACAAAAAGAGCAATAAAATAATTGTTCCATAAATGAGGAGGATGAATATTTCAGAAAGATTGTGCAGAGTTAATTAGAATTAACATCAAGCCCTTTGCTGTTTGATTGTGTGTATTTTTCAGAGATTACTTGCACTACAGAATACATGCCTGCTCAAATCACATGTGTGTCTGTAGCTGTGACTTGCTCCTAAGCGTTTACATGACACCGAGGTCTGGTGCTCCCGTAGGGACAGTAACAGAGGGCCAGCGCACCACTCAGAGGTGGGGGTAGGTTGTCAACAGCACAGCTTGCCTCACTTTATCACCCTGACTCTCTGCTGATCTCATTCCTGTCTTTCTCCTCCCCAGAATCAATGTCTTGTGTTTACCACAGGCAGACCAAGGGGCTGACAGTGATGAATACTGAGTGATTGAGTAATGCAATTGGATTGTTTCCTCACTCGAATTAGTCCATAGGATTCTGATTGAATCGATAGGGTTGCCTTTCAAGTCAGTTTGTGTGCATATCCTACAATGTGTGCATGTGTACTTGTGCATCTACAGTACAGGCATATGTCTGTGTGTGGACAGTAAAGATTTGGAGATAGGAAACGGGCTTTTCAGTATATTCTCACCACTAGAGGCTACTGTTGATCTCTTTATGAAATGGGCATCATGAGACTGTGTAGATGTAGCCTAATTAATTTATGTTACCAGTGATCTTTATGTGTCAGAATATTTCATGGACTGATGCCCTGCATCTTCTCAGCTCTACTTTTTTGATTGTGGTTATTTTTTCTCTTCAAAATCTTAACATCCTTCACTTTTTTCTTTCTCTTCAGCCATATGAAGAGGCTGAGTAGGAAACTGCCTTGCATGCACATGCAGTATTATACAGACGTCACCATAGATACATAATAACAGTTAGTTATAGACATAACTCTATATAACATACCTATAATCTATATACATATATAGATATATATACATATATATATATAGATCAGCTCAAAAACATAATACCCCACACTCACATATATTCATAGCAACTGTTCAACCTACAGTATGCTGTTTCCTCCAGTATTTACAACATATTTTGGTAATCTCACCCATCTTCAAAATTTTAATTCTGAATAATTTCCATGCTGGTGGCAGCTTCATTCCACACAATTAGAATGTGCAGTTATAATACATATAACACTTTTCCCATTCATACATAATACATAAGTTATACAAAACACATCATTACACTAACTTTGTGTAAGCAACAATATTGACTGATGTAAAAAATAATTCTTCAGCTTATTATATTTAAATTTTAAGTGAACTGTAAAGCAAGGAAACAACTTGTAGCTTGCTAGTTCAGCAGTGGACAGAGTCCCACAGATTTACCTCAGTGGGCATATAGGAATCTATAGCTCACCTGGATGCTTTGTTTTTTAAAATGGGATGAAGTTTGAACACCTGGATGTGACAAAGGGAGAATCGGCAAACCCCGCACCAAGATATCAGGAACTCAAACACAGTCTCTTTTTGCTGTGAAGCAACATTGCTATCCACTTGGTCACTATGCTGTTCCTGCCATCAGAAAATGCAAAGGACAGGACATCTCAACAATGGTTGATTACCTCAGAGTGGTTTGAAGGCACAGACACAGACCACAGCCAAACATTAACAGAATTTGGCTTGTGACTGGTGTTAATTTCCTACACTGTTCCTAGCCTCAAGCATCCTTTTAACAAACCACTGTAAAGATGCCATCTGTTTGAATTAAGTGACCTCCAAGCCATACAATGAAACCCAGCTGGCACAAGCATGAGACACAGTGAGATGCTGCAAACCCTTTACTTGACAACCACATTAATATTTCACAATGGTTCCATGGAATACTAATTAGTCCAGCAGACATCAGACAACTTTAGTTCATTTCATTACTGCAGTGTCAGAGCTGTACAGAGTTCTCACCGAACTGCTATGGTCAGTGTCATATTGACTAATGTAGCTTGTGACTGGCCTGTGTGTTATAGTTGCAACTGCTTTAAATCAAAAGCAGGTTCAGTGCTCTCCAGTCTGGTGCAAAAATACACACATCGGCACGGTGTATTGTAGTCATTCTCTGAACAGTCAGCCCAGTACTACTGTTCTGCAGCTGTAAAAGATCTTTTTTCTTCTCCTCCACAGGCATTCCTATCCATCCCTCTGTATACCCCCTCTCCCCTTTTTCCTCTTGGGGCTGTAAATAAGCTGGGGCTTTGTGGACCCTTGAGAACCCTTCCCCTCCTATGCTTCTCCAGCACTGCAACCCCTCTACAAAGTCACTGCCCACTCTGCTGCTGTTCATTATGCTGCTGAAAGGCACCAGGGAGATGCTCAGATGATCCATTGGGCCATCTTGAACCACACTGTCTATATATCCAACAATAGGGACAACTAACTAGTGCAAGTGTGAGAGAGCACTGGGAGTGTGCTGTGAGTACTCTGCGAGGCCTGCCCGCCAAGCCTGGCAGAAAGCTTGGCTTGCCCCTTCACTCCTCCAGCTCCTGAGATGCCCTCCCCTCCCAATGATGGAGGTGAGTAAGAGAGGTCCAAGTCTCAGTTTTGACTGGATTATTCTTTTAGATGATTAGTCAGTTAGCACATTTTTGTACAAACACTGTGGCACTCATAAAGCACACAAACACATAAAGTTGATGATAGAAGAATCATGATGCATGCACAAAACCCACTAAATCCCCTGAAGAAATGAGAGGAATATATTAGAGGACTGCAGAAAATGTTGCCCCCCTTGCTATATGGAGCAGAAACTGTGACCATATCCTTGTTGTACTGTATGCTGTCTCCTCCTCCAGAGGATCAAGGCGCGTCCCCCGTGAACGGGCCATCTGTGGGCTCCTACCAGAGCAGTGGGAAGAGGAAGGTGCACAGGAAAAAGAAGAAAGGCACTATTACCGCCAATGTTGCTGGCACCAAATATGAGATTGGTATGATAACATATTTCTAATGATTGTTAAATGCTTTTGAAATTGCAGTCATGACAACAGTACATAAAATATCTAATAAAAGTTTTAAACGCAATTAAAACAACTTTGGGGCACACGTATATGCTACAGTCAAGTCAGTCTACGAAGATGAAATGTCTTTTGACAACAGGGTTTGTCTTAACTTAGAAGCCAGTGTACAGTAGGATGAAGAGATGCTCGTTGTGTGATGGATGATGAAACCCGTTTACTGATGTACATGGTCCCAGTAATGATGCTGGAAACATCACTGGAAAACAAGGGAGAAGCCTGAAATGGTTTAGCAGCAGTGCAAGTGGTTGTAGTTTCAGCTGTAATATTAGTCTAACTTTAGTTGTACTGTTTAACATAGTAGAGACATGTGGGAACACTATGAAGATTAATGAAACACAGAGTAAACGATAAATGGTCTTGTCTGGTAAGCTAATTTTATCATACAATGCTTCAAATTTCAAGCTTGCTAAAGTATGTTTTGATTTTCTTCATGAAAAGTTCATGAGTGAGCAGGACCGGTATTTTCGGTGGTCCTGCAGGTAAGATTAATGTACTGAGACACAGTGAATTGTTTATTAATTTTGGAAACAGCTCTTAGTCTGGCTCAGTCAGTCCCTCAAAACACTGCAAATCCAATCACAATGTTGTTACAACAATAAAATCTAATTTGCCGAGGTGGATTGTTGAAGGAGGCCATTGTTATTTAATGTCTTAAATTAAACCTAATAGAGTTGCAGTCCACTGAAATAGTTCACACGACGACAGCTTGGCCTTATGTATGTACATAAATCTTTATTGAGGTAATATAACTTGACAGTGAGGTTTTTCAGGGAAGGGCCAAAAGAGCATAGTAAGCACTTCACACATGTTCAGTATATTGTGTGGCAGCAGAGCTCTCAGGGGTGAACTGCAACCTATAAAACTAAAGAGTCAGCAGCCGCAAGTAGAAGTTGAGGACTGTCAGGATCCTGCAGGTAGATGGGAGTCTAGCTGTGAGTCAGTTTGCTAGCTGTGACGAGACTCTCACGGTGGCCATTTTGAGGGTAGTGCAGAGCTATTCTGAAGCAAAATTAACACTAAGGGCCAGATGGATGGTTCATTTTGGCTATTGCCTTTTTTTGCACTAGTCTTTTTTTGCTTCAGAATTGATAGTATTTCAGGTAAAGGTTAAAGGTTAGGGAATATGGTGTTGGAAATTTGCTTTACACCCACTGAGAGGGAAGGTCTTGTCCTAAAGATGTTTGTTTAGTCAGATGCATAAGAAAGGACTGATTATAGCTGTGTACTCAAAAAAATTGACTGGTTAAGTGTAAGCATAGGCTTGCTGTGATGTATACCCTCCCTGTTCCAGTTAGCAAAACACTATTAGCCTCTATTGACATTAACAGATGGATGAAGTTCCATCGGAAAAATCTTTTTTTCTATTCAAGTGCCATCATGCAGCATTAGGCAAGCCATGTCCAGATTTCTGAAGGCTTTCAAGAAATTAATTAATACCTTGTTTCGTTAGGGCATATGAATTTTTCATTACTCACTGAATAATGAATAGTTGTTGGATTAATGTCCAAATGGGCTTGCCACCTCTCTCTCATATTATGGCATTTCCAGTGGGATTTGAATGCATTAGATACAATTAATGTAACTTTTTGAAGAGAGTCACCACCATTGGCTGCTCTGCAACCATTCCATGAATGGTAAATATTGCTGCGAGCTTCTATAATCTCCTAGACCTCTTTTAACATATATGCAAAAACAGCATTTAAGCATAGAAAAATGTTTGGGTGAAACACTGAACTGTAAAACAGAGATATTTTATTTGTTGGTGCAAGTCACTCTTATTTTGCATCTATATACTGTAGAGTATGTATCAGTATGTTTCTTTGTCATAAGTATGGCTATTCAGTTCACTCTTCTTAAAGTTAATTTAATTTAATTAATTTAAAATCACTGCATAGCTCATTCTAATACTGGAATGCCATCTAATGTGAGTGTTTTACCCCCAGTTCGTATAGTCATCAATGAGATGGATTTCATCAAGACCCGGGATGATGATGAAACTGCCAACCTCATTTGGAATGACTCGGCTGTCCAGCATGAGAAAATCGCTGAGCTCAGGAATTACCAGGTACACTGCATGGCTACTGTGTCAAGTTAGAGCACCTTGGTAGGCTAGAGGTGAGAAAAGAGAACTTGTGACTGGAAGTGCTGCACTGAACAGATGGATCTGGGAAAAGCAACGGAAAGCTGAAATATACTAAATGTCAGAATGAAAACAGAATAAAAAGAAATAAAAAAGTATGAGCGGGAGAATCTGGATCTGTCCATATGCTTTTTCTCAGACCCTGGGAGGAAAGAAAGAGAATAGCAAATAGGAAACAAACCAGACAGAGTGAGAGGGAGAGGGAACAACAGAGCTTACACAGAGACAGACGGGAAGATTGACAGGTAGACTGACAAGTTGTGAGCAGCAGTGGGTGGGGGGCAGGTTTCAGATGTCACTATTGATGTTGATAAGATGGGCCTAAACAACAAGGGTTGCTCTGAGTTCTGTGCACTTGTGTGAGAGTGATCTTACCTCTGTTTGACCTCCCTGTCCTGCTGAGTGAACTTGGCTGCTCCCCCTCGGCTCTGAGCGTTAGCCATCCATCTTCCCAAGTGCTTATTTGATTAGACTGGGCACTAATGATCGATTAAATCATGGGCTAGTCAGAAAGAGTATGGCTTGTTAAGATAGGGGCAGCAAGAGTTCAGCTAAATAGATTGAATGTAACAAATACTGTAACAGCTTAATATGTATCAAAGTGGATAACGTTTCACATAGAACTGTTGATCTGCTGTCAATTGTTTTCACTTGCTCCTTTGCGGCGCTATGGTGTTTCATGAGATAATTTCTCAGAAGAAAAGTAGAAGTCCCTCAACAATTGGTTTTGATTTCCGCTCACAAACCACGTCGTCTTGCGGCATTGGCATAATTGTGCAATCTCTTCCGAATCCCTAATTACATCTGTCTTGTTTGGATAATAATCACGGATTCTTTTTACGCTCTGTGTTCGTTTTCCCCTCTGCCCCCCCCCTTTTCATTTTTTTTCCTTTTAGTGATGTACTGTGAGTTTTCTGTCAAGTTTCAGTTCATATGAGCCTAATTAACGCCCCTGTTCAGGCTCATTTGGTCAAAGAATACAGAAAACCCAGAGTTTTCCCTTTACCCCCCACCCCTTTTCGGTGCATTCAAAGCAATTCATTCAACTGTCACTGCAGGAGCTTGCGATGCAGAACCAATTACCTCAGCCCCTCAGAGTTGAGATTGATTGTTTTTTTTTTCTCGTCTCTTCCCTCCCCAGCCTTTAAAGTATAAAAAAAACATAGTAAACTAAATAAGGGTTGAGAAAGGTCTCAGCGTCACCTTTTTGTTTTGAGTCTGTAATTGGGCATAAATGTCAGAACATTGTAAGCTCACTTCAGGTTGCTGCCTTTAATGTGCTCATTTTTATGAAGGGGTGGGGGTGGAATTGAGTGGCGTAATGGCCTTAACAACATTATTATGTCTGCCTGTCCCTCTGCAGAGAATTAACCATTTCCCTGGCATGGGCGAAATCTGCCGGAAAGACTGCCTAGCAAGGAACATGTCCAAGTAAGTTTTCTGTCTCTCTTAACACAGAAAATGAGAGTACTTTAGTTCAGTTGAAGATGTGCAAAAGCAAAACATTTTCAAAGCCCAGTATCTAACCAGCTAGCACTCTAAGAAGTTAACACTCAACCATTACAAGCCAAATAAGAAGACGCTGCTGTAAAGGCACAAAATGCATCTTTAATGTCATAAAAAACGTAGCTAATAATTTTCAAGAGTATAAAACTTCACATCATTTTAAAAGTTAAAAAGGTTGCTTTGAAAAAGAAGTATGATCACTGTACTCCCACAAACCCCTCTTTCATTGTCTGCAGAATGATCAAGAGCCAGCCTCAAGACTACAGCTTTATACCTAAAACCTGGATCTTCCCTGCTGAGTACACTCAGTTCCAGAACTATGTCAAGGAGCTACGCAGGAAACGCAAGCAGAAGACCTTTATTGTCAAACCTGCTAACGGAGCCATGGGTCACGGGTAGGTTGGAGGCTAGCAAGTATCCCAAAACATCCTACCACAGTGCCTATAAGACTGAAGACAAGAGTGACTGAAGGAGAGGATAAAGAGCAAGAGAGTTGAGTGAGAGAAACAGGGAATTAGTAGCAGAGCAAACAGAGGACCAGCATAACAAAACAAGGCAATACGAGGTTTGTGACCCTAATATGGGTGTCTATGGAAACAGCATTATGACTAGGACCAGGCTGAGTATTTGAGCTAAGAGGATGTGGTGAATCTCATTGTTGACCTCGATGGTCTCACTTTCCATAAATCAGAGGTTATCACTGCCAGTAGAGGACCCACACACACACACACACACACACACACACACACACGGTCCCTGGCAGTTACTGTAGTTCCTTGCCTGAAGGTCTCTGCATGTGATTATTGGATTCCTTTATGAGGCACCATCAGCAGAGACCAGTCTTACTCGAAAATGGACCAAGATGGCTGCTGCAGGGGACTCAGCTTCTCAATAGCAACTCTTTATCAAAAGATGAGCAAGCTATGGTACCTGTATGCATATTTCATATTTTCACTCCCATGGGGTAAGGGCCTATCTCAAGTTGTGATGTCACATTTCCATGGCATGTTTTCACTATCCTGACAGTTAGGAATTTAAGGGAATCAGCATCAAATCCAGTTTTTTCCAGAGCTACAAGTATGGTGAACAAACTCTGTGTACACGTATGAATCACCAGTTTTGAGGTATACCTGTACACTCTAAAGAAATCAAATATAAGTAATATAATTGATAAACACAAAATTTGGGAATCTTAAAATAAGAAATAATTCTCTTTAATATAAACTAAAAGACAGGCCAAAGTGTGAATATTATGATTTGCCTAAAACACAGGGCCTTCTGGAAATAATTTGTTTTTGCTTTTCCATTGCACGCAATTCTCTTGAGCGCTTCAGAATAAATTGAAACTGCTCAGATTGCAAAACATTTGTTAAATATGCATTTCGAATTGTTAATTTTTGAAAATGTAGTCCCTGAAATGCTTGTATGATGATGTACTTGTGGAGTGCATGCATCACTGGTACCAATAGGTGGAGATATTGAAGTACAAATGACTCGGTGTGCTTCACCTCTCCCTCTATTTCTCTTTGAATTTGTCCTTTCTGGTATAATGTGAGCATTACTTATAACGCCATGGTGCACTAAGCCCTTATTTATTAAAGAATAAAAAGGCCGAATTATTGCAATACATTAAGAATATGAAAGATGATGAGTTTAGCTCGACCACTCAATGGCAGGCGGCTCACAAGATTAGATTTTTCTCAGGTTTTTTGCATGGTATGACGCGGCAGGAAATTAAGTTATATCTACCCCCTGTAATTTATTTTTCCGTCGGCCAACTAAATGAAGCTATTGTTTGTGTCTGAAGCGCAGCTTGTTATAAGGGAAACAAAATAAAAGCGCATACAGGGCTTAAAAAGGCGAGATCCCCTCTGGTGCCAAATTAAATAGGCAAGGGAGAGTGGGTTGTGATTATCTGACACCCCAGCTCATCAATCACGTTGTCTTCTCCTCAGCTACTCCTCCTCGACTAACTAACACCGTTAACCCCGTCCTCATCATTCAGCTTGCTGTCTGCTGTCAAGAAGGTCCCTCACATCGTCGGTCAGGCTCCCATCAACTTCCTCCTCTTCTATTCTGTACAAGCACGGTGATTAGCAGGCCAATGAAGTGCTCGCCTATAATACAGAGGTCTTTTAGTTGGCCAGACCAAGTGCTGATTAATAAACCCAAAGTAAGAATAACACTGCACTAGGGCAGAGAAAGTTTTATCAAGCCTCAGACAGGAGGACAGCTGAACTAAGACCTTATTTCATCAAGAATGGCAATACCTGATCCCAGAATAGATTCACACTGCAACTCTGCTCTCTTACTTTTGATAAACAAAGCACCCTGGATAGGCTCACCAACAATGTTCCAGTGGTTTTGCTTCAGTGGAGTTTAGTGAGCAGGTGAATTATTTAGTTAAATTACAACAACCTAGACTGCACCATTCCCAGGGTACTACATGTTCTGGCTGTGATTACAGAAGCCACAGAGCAGAACAATGTTTGCCCTCTGGTGGCTTGGTGCCACAATATTTCAGTGACCTTAAACTGTACATTTTTAACAATGAAGTCGTTATGTCTTGGCCAAATATTGTGTTTGTGTGTGTGGTGTGCCCGCTTACATGTGTATAATGGAGCCTTCCTGGCTGTACATGTAACATATTTAGCCCAAGTCTGCCTTAACTATGACTGATGGTGATATGGGTCAGTCGTATTGCTTGTACACAGTGGCAGATTGTTCAAAAATGACCCCTCACCCTCTCTGCTCACATGCAGGCTCCCACAGGCATACAGACAGACAGACATACACACTTTCATATGCACAAAGTTTTGAAAATATCACCCTTCACCTTCATGTTCATAGCCACATGGAAACTAACTAGCCACACAAACTAACATAACTCATTCTTGAATCCAACTAGCAAAGGTCTGCGCACTATAAGGTCTGAGTGCCAGTGACATGAAACCAAAGCAAATGAATTAGAGTGGATGTTGAAATGGAGCACAATGTCTGCTCGTATGAACCTGCCCACATCTAAAAGACCCTGCTACAGCAATTGATGCACTGTGCCATTCAGACAAAGTGGCATTTGACTTCATAAAATCACACTGCTCTCCATTAGAGCTTATGACTCAGACAAACCAGCATGTGTTGTACCTGTCTGTTTCTTGCACGTTTATTTTTCAACTCTTTTATTTAGAAGGTCAGGTAATGAGCAGAGTAACAAAATAATTGGAACGTTTGGTGCCTCACAGAGCTCAACAGCCTATCCTACTCAAACTAGGTCTGAGGCATGCTGAGTACACTCATTTGCCTATGTTTTCAGTAAGTGTAGCAGTGGAATGTCACATACTATCAGGGAACCATGGGTCTGACCCTTTGACTCCTAAGGGCTAAACATCTTTAATGTAAATGTAATGTCATGTAAATCATTCCATTTTCAGTAAGAACATACCTTCTCCTGATTGTAGATATTGCTCCTGTGGATTATGACACTTATTATGCATTACTTTGAAAATAGAAGTGTGACAGAATTCTTCATGAGATTTGAACAATGACAGTATCACAGAATAGGGAGAATGTGCCCCCAATGTTTCCAGATGACTTTGAAATGAAATATTGTGTTGAAACCCATAAAATCTGTATACTGTTTGGCTTTTTTTTTTTTGCTTCAACACATATATAAGACAGAGCCAACGCCATCAGTCACATTCATGGTCTCTGCTATGCTCCCATCTATCACTTTTTTAATTATCTTTTTTGTCTTTACTATGCCATATTTTATAATGCTGCTTACAACACCCCAATTTCCTGCCTGAGGATTAATAAAGTCTGTCTATCCAGGATCTCGCTTATCCGTAACTGTGAGAAGCTGCCAGCCCAGGAGCACTTTATTGTTCAGGAGTATCTTGACAAACCCTTCCTGATGGAGGGCTACAAGTTTGACCTGCGCATCTACATCCTTGTCACTTCCTGTGATCCTCTTCGCATTTTCCTCTACAACGACGGCCTGGTTCGCATGGGCACAGAGAAGTACCACGCGCCCAGCGATGCCAACCTGGTGAGTCACAACAATATCACTGATGCTATATTAATACTGCAATAATAGTATCAGTCAGTATGCGCATAGCGTTTTTCAAAACAAAGTGAGTCATTGAAGAAAATATAAGTGGGCAAACAGTAAATCTGGAAACCCACACATATAAATGGTCAACAATGCCCAACAATAAAGAACAGATATAAAAACACACAACCACACACCAGTCATATCACTGGGTCTAACTAGAGGTTCAGTGTTTTGCTCAAGGACAGTTCGACATGTGGACTGGAGAAGCCAGGAATCGAACCGCCAACCCTCTGGCTGGCAGAGCATGTACCTAGAGTAACCAGCGTGTGAGTCAGAAATGCACTAGAGATACTACAGATAATAGATCTAGATAAACAAAATGATTTATGTGCCATGCACTGTCATGAACCAGAGCCACGGGCTTGTGCAATTCAGCAAAATCAAATTTTACACACAAACACACAAGAAGATAGATTTTGAGAAACACAGCAAAATGTCTGTATGATCACAAAAAACATGCACGTAGTCATATAAATGGTCAACGAAGTCCAGCAATAAACAACAACTACAACAACTTACAACTATAAAGCTTATATAGCTCATACACACACATATACAAAATTGGTCCACACAATGTATTAAAGACATGTACATACACACCCATGCTTGTTTTCATTCCTCATGGGGGCTATACTATGACTTAACATTCATTTCCTGGAGACATACCAAACCTCAGCCGAACAACTTACCCTAACCTTAAACCAGGTTATCACTCTAAAATTCACTGATTCAGGTGCACAGACAGACAAACAAACACACACACACACACACACCGATCACACAGAATGTATGCACACAGCTGAGCGTAAATGTCCACATGCCAGATGTCTCCTGTAATATCAAGCCACTCATATTTGCCTTGAGGTTCTGCACCTGCTGAAGCACAGTCTGTTGCTGCTGATGTTATGCACGCACACATACACAGCTTCCTATGAAGCATGATGCTTATCTAAAATATGAACATACATGCACACAAGCTGGACCCCTCCTGTGACACAAGTGTGTATTGTTTTACCCAGTCTGTGACACATGATGGAGTGAGTCATGCCATGGAGATGGATGTTCAATCCCACAGAGAGTGACTCCCAGACAGCCATCAGGGGCTGGAGTGGCCTGAAGTCACAGCGTTACCTTGTAGGACAAGGATGTATTGTCTTCAGCTGAGAGAGACAGGGATAAAACAGAGTTACACAATGTCTAGTTATAGTCAACCATTCGAAGACACATTTTAACGATACACTCTGGGAACTCCGGGGCAGTATGGCTCTGACTCGGTTTATTACCAAATCCTGATATTTCGGTGATCTGTGATTGAAATCTTGTTTTGCTGTTCCCATAAGAACATCATTTATGTAAGAAACAGTCTTGATAATTCCCATATACAGTAGTACACCAAGCTACTTTTACTGCACAATTTCTTAGCATTTTTAGGTGTTGCCAAGGGACTACTTTCTTTATTCTTGTCTATCCATATTACTTTGGAAAAAAATGTTTCACATTACATTGTGGGGATGCTCCACACTTTAAGGATAAAAGCATTATCACCCATGAGGATATTGTTTGCTGTGATGATTTTCATCACTGACAAAGATATAATTACACAAAAGAGCACTGTCACAGGTACCATAGCTACAATAACAATAACATTTCACTGTATTTATCATTGCAGTGCTGCCCTCATAACCTCAGTGGAGCTACTTGAAGGCCTTTGTATTTTGATTGTACTGGACAACTCTCATGTAGGAATACAGCTAACTGGGGTTGAGAAGAAGGTGAAAAAAAGCACATTTTTCATAGGCTCAGTCAATAAAAGAGAAAGTGTTCAATATGATTTGCTGTTCATATGACATAAAACATTTTATGCTGTCAGAGGTTATATAAAGAAGTCAATTTGCTTTACAAGTACACAGCAGACCTGCAACTTAGCAGTCTACCACATGAGGTCATATTGCCATAAACTATATTGCATTTTTTTTTTTTTATTGAACAGATGAGGCTTGTTTTGAACTTGTTTTATCATTTAGATGATGCTAATAGTGTTAAAATGTCCAGTGACATCAGCATCTAAAATGCCCCATGAAGTTGTCTTGTTAGCCAGAGACAGATGTCACATTGCATTTGAAAATGTGTCATGTCCTAACTCCCTTTTGTCTCTACAGAGCCAGCTCTACATGCACCTGACCAACTACTCAGTGAACAAACACAATGAGAACTTCGAGCGAGACGAGACCGTGGACAAAGGCAGTAAGAGGTCCATCAGCTGGTTCACCGAGTTCCTCCGTACCAACGACTATGACGTGGCCAAGTTCTGGGGAGACATCTCTGTACGTGGGTAATCCACTCAGACAAACACAGTTATATGCAGCATGTGTACTTCCATAAAGTCTAACACATCTCAGATGAAAACAACACACGTATACGGTACATCCCTGTCATATACTTGTATATACACATTCTATTCTTACTAACACATGCTGCATACAAAACACAAGTGGACCAGCAAAGGTTTGATGATTTGTTATGACAGTGATTCAGTCAGCTTCAGGACTTTGTTTAACTCCAGGAAGAGCTCAGTCCAAACATCATTCTTGGAGGAGCTCTCCCTCTCTGGCACATTTTCTTTCATTATTGTCGGTTGGGAGATTCTTTCATCTCCTGGACCAGATTCACTTCTTCTTTTTTTTTTTTTACTTATATCCCTCAATCTCATATGGTTCTCTTTGTCGTTTTGTAGTTGCTCCTTTCTTTTATATGCATTTTCTTAGCCCTGGTTCTGTTTACTGTATGTTCTTTTTGGTTTCATTCTTTGTAACCTTGACTCGTTGTCCCCCTGTCCATAGTCATTTGGGTTGTATGGTCCCTCATTGCTTGTTCTCTGTTCTACTGTCTGCTCTCATGCTACCAATGTTCAACCTCAAAATCAATTCCCATTGCTTATTATCCTCTCCTCAAGGCAGTCTTTTATTTCTTCTCTCCATCGGCTTTCACTTTTCTCTATGTTCACTACAGCAGACTACAGCAGCTATTGAGGCCAGTGCTTTTTCATTTGGTAACGTTTTATTTAGGTGACATTTCTTCTTCTTTATTCACTTCTCCTATCCATGTTGGATAATCTCTCAGTGTGTTCCATTTTGTCAAGGCACTAAAGTTTCTCATCCACTTACTCTGTTTCTCATCTTTCTCTCTGACTCAACCAGACCATGCGCCTCTTTTCTTGCTCTCTCACCATTTTTTTTTCTCTGCTCTTTCTTCAGCATTTGCACCACTTTGGTGTTAGTACTGTCCATTCACACTCACACACTGTGCTTTGTTCAGCTCTGTATTTATGTTCTCCGCTCACTTTCCTCTCTTTCTCTTTTCATCTCTTTCATTTTGTTCCTGCACAGACCTAGGCTGCATTGACTGTTTAGAAAGCCAAAAGATTGTCATGGGGTTTAAGAATATTGTGTATGTGTGTGTGAAACACTGACCTCGCTTTCATAGTGAGGTGTTGTGATGTGCTATATGGGGCAGAATCTCCGGGGTTTGAATAACTAGCCACAATTTTGTTATGTGGTGTATTTTAAGAGCATTGTTGGAATACAAGTGGACTAGTTATTGACTTTATATTTGCTAATACATGCGCGCACACACACACACACACACACACACACACACACACATCTACACCCCCACCCACATGCACTTACACACAAACACACTAGCAAAAAATACTCCAGCAGTTGTAGATTGTTTTTTTTAGCTTTTTGGGGTCTTATCAGAGTCTAAAGATGCTGTTATAACTCATCTGTTAATATGCGCACTTTTCAAATTTTTAAAATTGTGAAGAAAGATTTATTTAGCAAGTGCAATAAAATAGTTCCCTTTCTGATCCTTTAGATCTGTTGATTTTTGGTGAACATACGGAAACAAAGTTTTATTGCCATTTATGCCAAATTCCCAAGGGATTGTGGTAGACATAGATAATTTAAAATGCAGGTTTTCAGGTGCTGAAAAAGGGGGTTTTGTGCTTATATTTATATTTCAACAGACAACACAGTATTCTCTATTTTCTTACACTCCATGTTTTATATTTATTACTATTCTTTTTACAGGCATCAGAATTGAAATGAGTGTTTATTTTGAACAAATAACTAAAGTGATGAGGTATCAATGTGCTGCTGCTTTGCTTTCAATATAATACAGGACACAGATGATTTACAAATCACTGTTTTCAGTTTTAATTTTCATATTACATACTGTCCAAACTTCTTCTGATTTGGTGTTGTAGTTTTTACTTTAGTTTAGTAACTTAATCCTGCCCATAGATTAAATATATTTTCAGTGATACCATGCTGTCAGTTAAACCAAAGAAACCAAAGACTTCTTTTACCACCAGGACATCCTACTGTCTTTAGTACACTGCTATACCGTAGGACGCGACATGATGCCATTAAAACATATGAAAAGAATAAATTGTAAATCAATGCATGTATGCATATGAGATAAAAATAATAAAAAGGTTAAACGATGTCAATCAGGCTTATAAAACCATTTAGGCTCAAAGCTACAATAACAAAATACAGGCAAAAAAAACACATACATGCACATTACTAGGCAGTGGCCAGCGCTGGGGGCTCAGGATAAACAGGGAGGTGATGGGGACAGGGGCAAGGACACATACACACACACACACACACACGCACTCACCAGCCAATACTGGGAACTTTGGGCAAAGAAGGCTGTAGTGGGAGCAGGTGTTTGTGCTGGGCAGCCTGTGCATCACACGGGTGGATGGATGGACAGATGGACTGAGGTGTGTGAGCAATGGACAGGTAGAAAATGAAGGGGGGTGCAGCCTTATCAGGCTTCAGCCAGGCCACCGTACTCCTCTCCTGAACCCAGCAGTCAGACTGGACTGGGCAAGTTTCAGGCCAGCAGCACCGCGTATAGGGCTTGACTGGTGTGGGCATGCTTTATGCTGTGTGTGTGTCAGAGAGAGCATGTTTACCCCAGTTACACACTGGGACTAGGCAAGCAAGTAGCAGCCAAGCAAACACATGCATGCGCACAGGTTGGAAGCCATTACTTAGACAGATGGACCACCACCAACAGTGGTGCGTTTGTCAGTTTGTGAATAAAATTCAATTGGTTCTGCTCCAGTAATACTATGTGTTTCTCCTCCGCTTAAAACGGAAATCCTGGGACACAGGGGAGTTTAGGAGTAATCATAGACTGTACCCCTACTTCTGTGGAGCAGAGAAGCCTAACCCTAAATCTGAAGGTACTGTCATTTGTCTGCAGCTGCAACTTACAATTAAAGCAGGGCTCCTAGCTGTACCATTTTTAGTTTAAGACGACTGTTGATCAGGAGCTATAAAGATGGCAGCCTGTGGCTTTCTAGGATGACTGAAAGTGGCTAAATAAAAACGTGATATTTTGTCTTTTCTTTGTCAGCTCAGCTTGGTGATTCTCTCTGTGTGTGTTTGCCTTCCCAGGAGCTGGTGGTGAAGACATTAATAGTGGCTGAGCCCCATGTGCTGCACGCCTACCGCATGTGTCGCCCCGGCCAGCCACCAGGGAGCGACAGTGTCTGCTTTGAGGTGCTGGGCTTTGACATCATCCTGGACCGCAAACTCAAACCCTGGCTATTAGAGGTAAAACTCCGCGTGTGTGGCATGTGTGAAACCGCATAAATGTGTTTTTTCTAGAAATTCAAGTTTGTAATTTGTTCTTGCTTTTTATGTCAAAAACTGCATTTTCAATTACACTTTTTGAAATGCAAAAATGAAGTGCATTTCCTACATTAAAAAAGACATTTTTATTTACTAATTGGGAATTTTTAATTAAGTAATTCATTTTAAATAAATACATTTTAAAATACATTATAAAATAATGAAAGTATAGTAGGAGTCTTACATTTTTATTCAAGGGTGTGTGTGTTTGTCAGTCAGAAAGTAGAGGGCTGCAGTCTGTGAAGTCTCACGAGTCCATGCTGCTACTAATGTGACAGCGGCTCCCAAACTGGAGTAATGCCGCGTTAGCAGGAGAGTGAAGCGCTGCCACACTTTGACAGAAAGCATAAACACGCTGATTTTGTTTACACGCTCACATGTAAAAAGAAAGAACATCCACAACCATAAACATGCACACACAATGGCGTTTGTGCGTTCATACATATTCACACATATGGAACCCCTCATCATCACACAAACTCGCACACACATGCAGGATACAAAAATATAGGTCAGGATGGCAGGTTGACTAGCAAGACACCCTCATTCTCTCGGAGTCAGTGTCTCAAGTGTCAGTCATTCAGGAGGCAGAATCGAATTCAGAGTCCACTCCAGGATTTCTGTCTCACCATTCTGATGTCAGCCAGTCAGTTAAAGTGTGACCTAAATCCTAACCCAAAGTGGCTGCGTGCCCCCCCACCCCCACAAAGTGACTCTAGAATGGAAATGCCTCTGGGATAATTGTTTGTTTATCCCCATCATGCCAACCCAAAATAAATCTTACCAAAAGCCTCTACTTTGGAGAAAAAAAAGTGACATTTGTTAGGCGGTTGGTGTTTTCAGTAGAGTCATCGTGGAATTAGGGTGTTATAATTACCCTACCTGGCTCTTTTTGTCTGGTTGAGCTGTTGTACTATATGACAAAAGAATGTGCAGGAGAGAGCCAAAGCGGTTTTTTTTTTACTGCTAGTGCACTGTGACTGTATGTGTACACTTCGAGTGTGTGTGCGTATATAAATGTGTATGAAACATGGCAAACAGCCGTGAATGCAGTTGTTCCGCTCCAGCAGTAATGATCCCCCTGTGCTACTAGTAGCTTTCTATAATTCTCATCAATTAGCATTCTACGTGCATGCAAACACACACACACACAACCCTGCTTCACTTTTATGCAACATTTACAGTAGCAATCATTTCCAAAATTCCACTGATTAGTCAGGCGATAGTTGCAAACATAGAGACCCCTCCTCTAATCCTCACTGTGCACACTGTCAAGCCTGAAAATAATTTCATTACCACTTTTTAAACTGTCGACATCCATTCCTATTCTGCAGGGACGCAACACACAACTGGACCCACAAGCTGGTTGCAACAAACTGTACCCGATGGCCAGCCCCCAGGTCCAGATTAAATTCTTCAGCAGATTACTTTGCAGCAGTTTCTTAAAAATTTAATCGATTTCATCCTATTTCACAATTTTTTGTATTTTATTTTTGTCACCCTCCCTGAATCCCAAAACAGTAAAAGTTGTGTCAGAAATTGAAACACAATCTAGGTCTTACAGGTTTGTTTTGAATTTGTGGGCTTTCACTCTCAGGTTTCCTTGTTGGTGTCATTGCGAATTACATATGCCAAGCCTTGTTGGGGCTTTACTCAGAGTGCTGTTCTGACAGTGTCTTCCTCTCTTACTCTTTAAAATGTCAAAATTAGTTGTTGGACATGCAAACCCGGAGGCAGGAAATGAAGGTTCAACCTGTGTAAACTCAAAACCAGTCGGATACCTGAAAGCTAGATGGTATATGTAAGACGCTGTCAAATGACATTAGTCCAGCTTTTAATGTTTGTATTTTTGTCTGTCGATTTCTGTGTGTGTAGGTGGCTGGGAAGGGAAAAGGAACATGATTACCTCTCACATCCTCCAACTACACCTCCAGAAAATGGCTAGCTGTTTATTTTTGGACAAGATATTCAAAATAGTGGAACTCCAAACTCCTGTGATTATAGGACGTGTTTATCTCTGTCTTGCCATTGTAAGAAAATCACTGTGCAAGATAAAATACTCTGACCAAGCACAAAGAAATCATTGCAAATATGGTGTTAACAATTACATACAGTATACTCAAAAGGAGCAACCCACAGACCAGCATGCACCTGCTACATAGCTTGTCACAGTGGCAAAAAAACAAAGGGGGCAAGAGTTATGTTTCTCAAACCAAGGCCAGACATTAAACAGGCACATTGTACTAGGAACAAGTAGAAAGGGGAGAAGAGAAGGTATAAAGGGCTTAGACTGTGGTTTGTAGTGTCAGTGCCCAGCCTTTTGGTTTGAGAGCTTCAGTCAGTGTTGTCTTTTGAAAGCAAGATAAAAGTAAAAGCAAAACAGAAATGCAAGGGAAACGCAATCGATGCAGAAATGCACATATATTCTTTAGTTCAGGAACACAGGCTTTACTCATAAATTCTACAAGCACATGGTGGTGTCTTGGGGTGCGTGGGTCAAAGCAAACAGCAGATGTCTCCAAACCCAGTGTGAGTCATAAGGAGTGCATTTCCTCAATGGCAAAATATAACAATGAAACAGCATTAAGAACCCTGCACATGGCCTCCTCTCACTGTGGCCCATGTGCTGTAAGCCAGCATGAAAAATAATGTCAAATGGAGTGAGGAAAATGGAAGGAATATTACTAGCTCTTCAGTGGGTGATGGGTGAAGGCAGGAGGAATATAGACACAAAAATATTTTTGTAAGTTCTCTACACCTTATATCTCAATACAACCAGGCAAAGAGCATGATTTATCATTCTCATGATGTCTTGATTGGTGTCCTTAGATCCCAACACAAGGATTGGTGAATTGAGGCCCAGTCTCATTATAGTCTCTGGGCTCTTGTTTGTTTGTTTGTTTGTTTTTTAGTTGTTCCCCCACAGAAAAAAAGCTTCAGCTGGTCAGCGCTAACTAAGACGAACCAAGTATTTGTAGTGAGCAAAAATAATTAGAAACCTTGGTCTATGCGAAAATCTCTCTCTCTAGTGCCATTTGACAGGCCGATTGGCCTGCTCGTTAGGGCCACAGTTGGGGTGTGATGGTGTGCAGATGCATACGTGTGCGGATCTGAATTTGATTTGTGCTGTGTCCTTGTGTGTGATGTTTGATACTCTTTATGTGTTTGCCTGCACTATACACATACTGTATATGCACTGTGATAACTAGTGCGTGCAACTCGTGTTTATTTATCTACTCTTTGTGTGTGTGTGTGTGTGTGTGTGTGTGTGTATATGTCTGGATGTGTGGTCTTTATTCCTCTGGGAAAGGTCCTATGTGGTGTGTGTGTGTGTGTGTGTGTGTGTGTGTGTGTGTGTGTGTGTGTGTGTGTATGACTGACCATTCTGATCTGCCTACCATCAAATTCCAGCCCACAGCCTGTCTATTTATCCAGTTGGAGAGGCAGACACACAAAAACAGACCAATTCAGTAAGAAACAAAATAAAGACAGGAGGAAGGAACCCTGGTGTCATGGCATTTTACGTGTTATCGCTGAGTATTGAGATTGCCAATCACATGCTGGAGCTTATGCAGCCCAATTACTGATGGCTGCAACCTAACTACCATCTCCTCATCCATCTCCTTCCTTCTTTCTACCCTTCCAGTCCCCTCTAAAATGGGCTATGCAGAATGAACGGCAGCTAATGAGGTGGGCATGGTTAGGTCAACCGTGGTACGGGTTTGTTTGTGCCTCAGTGTGTTTGTCGGTGTGAATAGGCATTACAACAACAGACTGTAGCTAGATGGCTCCACCAAGGGCGGAGATTCTTCACCCCTATCCTCCCTCCCTCCTTTCCTTCACCCCTTCCTGCAACTTTCCTCTCTTTCAGTGCTCTGCCCTCAATTGTTTCAAGATGAGTTTGGTTTGCCTGTCCATCCCCCAGAACCAACATAATCCAGACTTCCTTTTCTTTCGCAAGTGTGTGTGTGAGTGTTTGCGTTGTGGGTGTGTTTGTGGGGAGTAATTTGCGCTGACAAGTGTAAACAAATGCTACGATACACGTATACAAACAGACTTTTTTTTTTACTCTCCATCTTTCAACACACACAAATTACAACTTCTGAAAACAGTTAATTTCCTGTGTGGAATAAATAGTGGTTCACACTTGTGTAATCTTTCAGTTGAAATTCTCTTTCATCTGTGCAGAACGAGATGAAAAATATATGTCCCTGCAACTTTTCACTAAAGTATAAAAAGAGTAGCCATTTAAAGCATGGCTGTTTTCCTTTGGAGTTTTGGAAGAAGGATTTAGAGGTTATCCTGCCTTTCATATTTCCTCATGAAGCTGTTTTCTAACCCTACTACAGCAGAGTTGAACATTATTGTGTATTCAGTCTGATTAAGGAGGAATTTACTTGCTACCTGTGCTCTGCAAATAATTTTCATCCCCTCATGATTGAATTTTCTAGGTTGAAAAATGACAGAGGGGAATGCACACAGTTTGACTTACTCAATTATCTTTTGGAGTCTCTCTTGTCCCCTTCCAACTTTCATTCTCCTTTTGCCTTTGATTAATCTTTGGCACTTAGTGGGATTCATTCTTATTTAAATGTCCATGGATAACATCCTTAGCTTTGGGGGGGTATTTTTCTCCCTGTGAACCCTAGGTGGCAGTATTCACCTATGAGCCAGTCCTTGGCTTATAAGAGGTTTATTAAAGAATAATTAGAATGATGTATGAGACTGTCTGTCTCTATCCACATCCATTTTCCCCCAACATGACTATTTCATGGAATAAGTATCAAATTAGGAGCACACAGGCCTCGTATGTGGGGCAGTCGAAAACACACCCCAACATTTAGTCATTTATCATCAGGCATGTATGGCAGTAAACGTAACTGTGTGTGTGTGTGTGTGTGTGCGTGTGTGCGCGCGTGTGT